TAATCTTTGAATGAAATATGCCTTTAAATCCATGTACATTAGGTCTGCAGGCTGCTGTTATATGAATGTTAATATGCAGTCTTGATGGTTCCGCCCATTCTTACTGCATATTAATAGTCATTTTAATCATACCTTATGCTTGGAACTGTCTGTTACACTACCTTAGTCTCATTTGGTGGACAATGTACCCATAATGAGCAATAATGAGACATTTTAAACACCTGAATCAACATTTAAATCACCTTAAATCATCATATCTGAATGTGTTTTTTACCTGTTCTTTCACTGAAAACATTAACAGTCTTGCCCTCGGTTGTTTTCATTAATTCGCTCTGCAGTGCATTGGCAACTTAAACGCAAGCATTCACAATTTATTTATTTATGTTTTTTTTATTTTGTGACGCTGGTTATAATATTGTAGCTAAGTTGGCTATTAATATTTCGGCCTTTTGTCATATATATGTGGCTTGATTTCCACGTGTTAATCTATGCATGTTTATAATTATGTTTACTATTTAGTGGAATGCTTTTGTATTAAGTGCACAGTAGCTACTGTTACCATGGAAGCTGGATGTTCAGCTTTAACAGAAATTATTTTCCCTGTACATTTTTAAAAGCCCTGTTTGAAATATGACATTGTGGATGATCTGCCATATGTATAAGTATTTGAAAAATCATTGATGTATAGCTATATCATTTTGTTTCCATTTATTTCTCTGTTTCCTCTATATAAAGACTTGAGCGTAGAGTGGACTGTAAGCATTTATGTTTGAACCACCTAATTTATTATCTTTTGTTTGTAATACTTTATCTTGATAAGTGAAAGAAATAATAAAGTTACTTATAGTTAACCATAACATCAGTGGAATGCGTTTATCTTATCTGAAAGTTATAAAAGTGGACTCTCGTAGTGAACATGAATAACCACCTGTCTTACCGTAATTATTCTAATACAGACGCTGCCATTTTGAGTTTGCACGCCATTTCTTTTTTTAGACATACCGCCCATGGATGTATAATAAGGATACCGCCTCTAAAATGTGGTGCGCTCTTGTTTACATACATTACGATAGGATTTACGACAGCAACTGTTTCTGCTACTTCCTATAAAGTGCTCCATAACGACTTCTTCATTCACAGCCACGGTACGGTGTTGAAAGATTGGAGAATTAAACATGGCTGCACTCATCAGAAGGATCGTCAACACAACAGCAGCCCCGGCGGCCATCGGTCCATATAGGTAATGAAACCAGTATAGCTCTTACATGTTATGTTTAAAGGGACACGTGGGGTGCAGAAGCAGGTATACAATGTTTGAATTAATGCATGACTCGCAAGGACAGTGTAATTATTCATCAGGGGCGGGTCTTAGTGAACAATGAACTGAAATTGACCCCATAAAAAGAGTCAGAGTTGAACTTGTAGCAGAGGAAGCACTGACTGCACAGTAGAGACACACAGCTGGGTTGAAATGGCATCTATTCGTCGACAAATCCCCTACACACCAAAAGCCCCTATCAGACAGGGCATATACAGGTAAGGATTAATGTCCTGTAAAATACTTTATCTTGTCTTAGTTTTCCATTTTCAGAAATTTAAAAAAGCACGGTTTTGCTTTCTTATAACTTGATTAAACATGTTTAACTTAAATACTCAAAAACAAATAATTAACTTGGAGTGAAACAAATTAAAGTGAAGAGTCTAGTTTAATTCATCTGTGCACGGTGTGGGAATGGGGAGTTCCTGCTCTGGCCAATCCCCTGTCAGTGGGGGGAGTGACTTCACACTGAATGCCTCTGATTTATCTATTAGGTTCAAGGTCCCTGGTCTATTGTAATGTCTGGTGGTAAAATGTGTAATAAAATGTGCCTTTTTAAAACTACCAGAACATATGTAATATCAAATAATGGCTGTTGAACTGATAATACACTCATGTTGTTGAGATATTTAAATATCTCCAGAAGGCTGCTCACCATTTTCCTAGTATCCTCAAGCTTGATTTGTTTATCTGTGTTTGTGTCTCAGTCAGTCGGTGGTCGTGGACAGAACGATGTACATCTCGGGTCAGCTGGGGATGGAGGTGGCTTCTGGTCAGCTGGTAGATGGAGGCGTGCAGGCCCAGACCAAACAGGTGAGACCGCAGAGACCAACTATCTATTTCAGGACTTTGTCTGACGTTTTTTTCCATAAAAGTAATAATTATAACTCCTTCCTTAAGAGATTTACTTTTAACCATCATGATCTTCAGGAAGCACAGTACACAGTATGTGTGCCAGAAACTTTTGACATCCACAGAGAAATTATTCCCTCAATTCATGATTTTATGAATTAGAGCAGTGCTTTTTATTAGCTGTATGAGTCTTAATTCTTTTGTAAAAAGGGGTCAAATTTTTTAGTAACCTTGTTTTTTTTTTTTTAACCAATGTCTTACTTTTAAATGTGTTTGATATTTTACAATCAAATTTGACCTAGAAACAAAGTAATTAAAAAAAAAAAAGGTTCCTCTTACTCATCTGAATGGCTTTTCAATCCAAAAAATCTAAAGCACATATTTGAAGAAAATAAATAATGTGAAACGGGATATTAGATATTGATGACAATGTGTGTCATCCCTCAGGCTCTCGTCAATATGGGGGAGATCCTCAAAGCTGCTGGCTGTGACTACACCAACGGTGAGTTTTATGTATTACTCACCTGCTGCTTATTATCATATATATTTAAATGTTCCAACATAACAAACTCTCTGACGGAGTAAACTTTCTGATTTCAGTGGTGAAGACGACTGTGCTGCTCGCTGATATCAACGACTTCAATGGCGTCAATGAGATCTACAAAACATGTAAGACAATACTTCATTTATTTCCATGCTTAATGCTTTAAATGTTTTGCTACAAAACAGGTTGTAATAAAAAATACTAGATTTTTCTAATAAAATGTACTGTATGTTTTCTTTTATCTACACTCTTCCGCCACATGGAGGCAGCCTTTATCCAAGATTGTCAGAGCTGCTGTTCCATTTCCACTTGTCATGTCATCTATACAAACAGCTTAGGTTAATTGACATTTATTTCCTGCTGCCATTTACTACAATTGCAATCAAATGATGCATTATAAAACCATAATGAGTTTTGATTTGATCATTTTTGCCATAATTCAATTGGTTAAACTTGATAAGTCTACTTCCTTATCCCTCCTCAAATTATTAATTAATATTTTCATTTTATAATTAAATATCAAAATCGATTTACAAACACCTTTTACATTTAATTGTTTTTAATTACATAATGCTAGTGTCCCTGCATATCATACCATTTCTCCAAGTATGTTCATTCCTTTAAAATGTACAGTTACCTACATACCTAGCATTTTTTTATGGTTGTATATGTTTTTTGGTCCTTTTTAGCCATTTATTAGAGTGACAGTGTTGAAAGGGGTAATAAAGAGAGGTCTAAAGGGTCATCCGCATTTGAACTTGCGCTACATGTAAACAGTGTTTCAATTAAACACAGTTAACTCATAGATCACGATTCACACTCGGTCATTATTCCAGTGGCAAACTCCAGGATCTCTACAGAAAACCCCTGCTGACAGGTGACAGTCCTCTGGAGGCTCCCTCGGCCTCCTGTCACAGGCTGCTCAGTCCGGGCATTTCCTGCTGGATCACAACAGACCGGTGTAATGGAAGCTGCTGTGCCCAGTGAGTTGTAAATGGACACCGCTGTGCAGGCACACAGATGTAACCAAACCCTCAGAGCCAGCTTTCCTGCGCAGGCCATTGCCTCTGGTGCAGGCTCTGAGCCCTCCCACCTGACTTTACTCAACCCTAATGCAGGAAACTTTCCCTGACCCTGATGAAAGCATGGCGAGGACATGTTTCTGACTCGTATAGACTTTTCTGATAAACGTGATTCCTGGCATTTTCATTTGGGGATTTCTCTCCTATTATAAAAATATTTTCATTTTGTATGAAATGCCAGAAACTCTTACAATGTCTCGAAGTGTAACACCTGAGGCTTTTCTCAATTTGTATTGAAAGCCATCACGTTGAAATCAAATGATCCATTCATATGTACCTGGCTGTTTTTTTCCAATATGCTTTTGTTATAATGTTAATGTTTTTCTTCCAGTTTTCACAAGTAACTTTCCTGCCAGAGCTGCCTATCAAGTCGCTGCTCTTCCCAGAGTAAGTACACATTAAGTGGAGGAGATTCATGGTAGCCCATCAAACCGTGTATTTCCTATCATCCATGTTCATCTTTTTACCACCTTGTAATGTTGGTCCCTCACATTTTAGCTCCAGAATTGTTCCATTATCTCTGCAGAGAAGCTGTGCATTGTAGTAATCTAATTACCCAGATTACAAAATTGTTGTCTCATTGTCTCTTTTGTTCTGTTCAGGGCGGGCTGGTGGAGATCGAGGCGGTCGCTGTTCTCGGTCCTCTCTCAGACTCCTGACTAGATGGCCCCATCACCAACAAGCTGTAGCCCAACCATCAAGTGCCTTTTGTAGTTGTACAGTGACAGCCTTTAAAGAGTTTACAAATAACACATGAAAGACCAAACTAGGATCTTGTTGACTTTCTTTTTCCAACATTTCGGGTTTTAGGATACATTTGTTTTTCTTCTGGCCGCTGTAACAGCTGACTGTAGTTCTGAAATACTTTCATTGGTATTAGACAGAAAATGTAGCGCAACTTAATTCACTAACAAACAAAACTGTAATGATAGACAAGGATTGTATTTTTATAACCAGTCTAACATTCCCTGGTGGCCAGATTCAACTTCCTCTAGGTGCTCTGGTTTGGTTACTTTCCTGTTTTATTATATATATATAAAGACATATAACATATTTTAAATGTGCAGCTCTCACTAATAAATAAAAAGAAGTACAACCTCCGATCTTAGAATGATTATTTCACCATTACACATCACATCAGACATAACGTGTGTATTCATCCAGCTTTAAGAAAGTAGCCTACATGCATTCAATTTTCAAGGTGGCTTTTATTTTTTGATATAGCTTATAACAGATTTTGGAAGTTTTTCCCAGAGAGAAATCATGACCGAAACAAAAAAAGCATTTACGCTTTTCTCATTCATGCTTTTATATAAATGTTAACTGTCATAAGTTTAACTTCATAGTAACAGCTCTTCATACTCATTACAAACACGTTTGTAAAAATCAAAGCCAGCATCGCAAGTAGAATAATATTTCATAAATCAAATATATTTTGGCTTTGGTTTCCTTAGAGTTATAATTTTGTAGAAAAGTATAGGATGTTTTTTTTCAAGTTAAATCAAAGATAATCTATTATTCTATACAGATAATAAATAGACATTTCTATGACAATTTATCATTTAAATTACCCTGAAATGATGAAAACAAACATTAAGTGCCACAGAGCTATTATGAAGGGAACAAGGCACAGTGATGACTGAGGAACCCTGACGGAAAGTCGTTTTTCATCAAAGGGTCTGCATCTTGGCAACAAGGCGACATCTTACTCATACTTTTACTCGTGCATACAAACAAAGATGGAAACTTCCAACAAACTCTTCAGTGCAGTTGTTCATGTTGCACCTCACTCACTGGGAGCTGAAAACCAAAAGAGGGGAAACATGTTTAGGTTGCGTAGATGTTTTTGGAAACAATTGCCCATGTGACTATAAAAACATTGGTTTGACTTTAAAGAAAAGACAACTGTTCCAAATTTATTTTTGCAATGCTCTGAGCACCGCAAAAACATTTAATCATTTTTAGCAGAAATCCTAAAATCATACCTATACTTGCATGGCTTGATACAGTAGGTGGAAGTAAATTAATATGTTTGATTGTAATTCAAAAATAACTTTAAGACCAGTACTGCAGATTGAAAATCCCAGGTCTGTAGCAACAAAAACTTTACTCATTCAGCCTGTAAAACCCTTACACTCCAATGTGGGACTTTTCATTGTTGGGGAAATATTTTCCAAGGCCCATAACTTTGACCCAGTTTATCAGTTCAAACTGTCCTGACTGAGCACACGCACCTGTAACCTTGGCTGCTGTGCTCTCAGTGTTTTTGTCTCCCTGTTCCTGCCTGTTGGCGACAGCTGATTCTATCTTGTTATGCACAATGTTGATTATTCTCTCTGAACTAGCTAAGTACATGGGTCTGGGGTAGAGTTCTTCAGAATTGACTTTGGCATCTCAACCGTGTGGTCAACTCGTGGCCCGTGACATGTCTTGTGAATTCTCCTGCCGAAGCTCCAAATAAACCGTCAGTGTTTGCCATCAAAGCTCCAGCTCTCCATCGTGTCTCTCTTTGAGTCCTGACTCCAATTGCTTCAGAAGTTTCCCCCACATTCATGACTTTTCTTTTTAAAACTTCACCAAACCCATCTCGCCCCCGCTTAAGTGACACTCGATCATCTGCCTCCATTGGCTGTGAAACAGGGGCAACATCGCCCATGGCCAGTGAAAGCCCTATATATGTTGGCATGCTCTGGTTTCTCTGTGGACTCAGATTGCACCTTAATGAATGCAAGTTGACAACAAAATGTTGGCATCACACTACACACACACACACACACACACACACACACACACACACACACACACACACACACACACACACACACACACACACACACACACACACACACACACACACACACACACACACACACACACACACACACACACACACACACACACACACACACACAAGGTGTGTGCAGGCCAGCCAACCACAGCTGAGTCACAACTAAATGATTAAAGTTGGACACCAAAGGGTAAGGAGAGTGCTGACTAATATTTAAATAAATAAATGTAAACTTTTTATTAATTATATTCAATACTTTGTGTGAAACTGTCAAGTAATCTATTACAGCTTGCACCTGTTGTCTGTCTATTCTCTCTCTAACTAAAGGCTGGAGTTTTAAAATGATTTTGTGGCAGTATTTTGACACCAGATAGTCTTTGAAACAACACCCCAGCAATCAAACTGTTGGATAAACCATAATAAAGACGTTTTGTTATATAAAAAAACCTTTAATTTAACTCCAGATTAGTTTTAAAATTGGCAGTATTACCATATCTTTAGATGTACGTAAATAAGTGATGACGCCTGTACTAGATAACTGCGTAAATAAATGCTTGAAGGTATGGGTAGACCAAAACTGATAGAAAAACAAAAGTGGTGGAGGCAATATATGGTCATGTACAGAAACTAATGCATTTTCTCCACTGCATAAGCCAGTACTGTAGCTTTCCTACCTTGTCTTCTTCCAAACTGCATTACAGTGGTAGACACTTTGCATAAGACTAAGAGGAAAATCAAGAGCTGACCTCATGAGTCGACTGCCTTTCATTTGCATCATGAAGAAATAATTGAAATGATAGCATGCGATGTGATGCTGCATTGTGTTTCACAGCACTTCCATAGATAATAATGTAGTGTGCAGGGATCCTCACTGTGCAGACCTGCAGTCACTCTGATGTGCTCTTTTGGTATTTAAAGCAACTATTCTTACGTTGTAATAACTAACTTGTATGTTAGCATATCCCCCTGTTACCAGAGAGGTGAACAGGTTCAGTATTTTCTCCAGAGACAACAAAGGGATCCTGACTACATTGTGTGTTTTGTTTGGGAGGAAGTGTTCATGCCATATCCTAACAACACATATTGGAAAATAAGTCTTTGCATGCAACTTGCACACATCAGGAGCTGACCCTGGGCCAAACAGTTAAAGTTAAATGTTTGGTCTATAGCCTAACAACTGTTACAGCCTCAAAGGACAATGGTTACACTTGAACAGACTGTTCAGGCATGAGTCATCACTATTTAAACATCCTACATCTATCCCCACCTAATACTACTTTTGAAAAGATTTAGCCTGGATATACTTTTCTTATATGGTAGAAATCTATGTTCTCTATTTATTTGACCAAATGTCATATTCAAAGCCAAATAAATGGTATAAAAAAGACAAAGGTTTTAGCGCTGACAGTCGATATTAAACATTACATTTTCTTTAAATCTGAACGTACAAACAACAAACTTTTAAAACATAAACTCACTCTTCGCTTTCCAATATATTATGTAATAGGTTTTAAGTCTTGGAAATGTTCCCCAGGCTGTAGTATAATTGTTTCATTAAAGTCTATTTTTAAACAAAGATATACTGTCAGGAGATGAACATATTCATTAATACATTTTCAAGAATGCAGCCTAATGAAAAGACTCCTCTGTGAGTCCAAATATAATAAAGTGTATCAATATAATACATCATTATTACAGTCATTAATTCATGTAACCTGGTTAGGCCAACCCTTAAGTGTGAGGCAGATTCTTAAATACTAACTAAATAATCAGATGTGTGACTTATAAACAAATATGTGTGGCCGCCTCGGTGTGTTCATTAAAAGACATGCCTGTGTGTTGTTGGGTATCACCTGGTTACCGACATTGCAATGGGACTGTGGGGGGCCGAGGGAAAGACGGGAGGGACATTATGTACCTGTGCTGTCTTCATGCAGGAGGTGGAGCAGTGCTCAGGTTACTGCTGCTCAGTGGTAACAATTTAACCATAATAACCTTACTTCCCGTAATGCCACACAACACTACTATGACATTTTTTTCTATCAAATGTGGTTACAAAAATACCTGATGTAGATTATTATGTGTAAGAATCCCCTACATTCAGTATTGGGAAGTCTTTCAAATGTGCCTTAGCGAAAAAGAAAAGATTGTCATTGACCTGTCCAAGTTAAGTTTTCGCCCTCCAACCTACCTTGCTCTGCAGGTGCTTCAGGAGCTGCTGCTGGTTCTTCTGCAGGTGTTGCATCTGGAGCTTCTGCTGGAGCTGCTGCCGGTTCTTCTGCTGGAGCTGCTGCTGGTTCTTCTGCTGGAGCTGCTGCTGGTTCTTCTGCTGGAGCTGCTGCCGGTTCTTCTGCTGGAGCTGCTGCTGGTTCTCCTGCTGGAGCTGCTGCCGGTTCTTCTGCTGGAGCTGCTGACGACTCTTCTGCTGGAGCTGCTGCTGGTTCTCCTGCAGGTGCTGCTGCTTCTGCGGGCGGGGGGGCTGCAGCAGGCTGAAGCTCCGAGTCCTGAGTGTCTGCAGATGTTGCAGCTGCAGCAGGATTGTCTGCAGGTGTAGCATCGCCTCCGCCAGCAGGTGTCTGGTCGGGAATAGTTTCGCTGTCCTCAGCTACTTTACCATTCTCATTGCCCGTTCCTGTCAGGATTACATGTAAAATTCCAGATATTATGTAAAACCAATACATCAAATATGAAATGCAGGGTCACGAGTCAAAGTAGTGTTTATATTCACTGGGGTTTGGGTAACCATGTGCTTCTGATGATATTCTTCTTTCTGCTTTGAGTAAAATAATGTGTACACATTTGGATATTATTTTATTGGGGCATTAATACTGTGCTCTGTTTACTTTATGTTTGTGTTGCCTATTATGGCCACAGAGCTGACATAACCCAGAGCCATATGCAACACGCAACATGTTAACACGCAACTATTATAATAATGATAGCCACGCAACACATTTTGTTAAAATTGTGCCGACTTCATTTGCAGAATGTAGGAGCAGCCAGTGAGAATGTGGCTAATAATTCAACTGCATGTCACAAGTTTGAAGGAATTAAAGATATTTTGTATCTTATAATGTACACCACCATGTATCATACTTTGAAAATGGAGTAAGTAATAAAATAAGAGTTGTTTGCATGCGGACTCCTAACATCCAAAAATAACACCAATGAATAACAATTTCATCTTGCACAATAAGAAAAAAAAAGTATGCACTGTTCTACAATACTTGATCAACTGTTCCTCTTTGGAAAATATAAAACCTATGGTTGCTGCCAAAGGTCATTGGGAAGGAAGTAAAAAATAGCATAAAGAAATCCCCACTGACACATTACTGGAACCACAATTGTTAATGATTATGTGGAGTGTTTCTAAGAAACATTAACACATGCTGCAGAGCTCATAGCTCTCTGGACAGGTTGCTGTGTGTTTGAAACTGTGCATGAGAAATGCAAATCCCTCTGAAAAAACGAGTACATGGTAGAGGGATTTGCATTGCAAGTGTATTTGCATGGATAAAATAAGTCTTGATCATCAAACGTCCATGTTTGTATAAATACGATGTCTGTGCCTTTCTTTGGTGCATCATAATTGTCACAATATATTTGAGTTTAAAGAGATAATGGTGTTCTTTAAAGGATTATTTTAAACCATTTGAATCTCGGGGTAAGGGATGTCATCTTTCTTTCTTTGGGGTGACAAGTAAGAACAGGCGAAGAAAAAGCAGCCATGCAAAAAGAAGAAAAGATCTGGTTCCAAATTTGCATCTGACCTCCAAGATGATAATAGCAGGAACACCTTGTTTTTCAATGTCATTCAGCTAATAAACCCGGAAACCTGAGAGCAAAGACAAAAACTACTCTCCTAGTTTACAACGACAACTACACACTTTTAGAATCATAGGGGGGAACTCTCTTTTTACTTTTCATCCAAAGGAAAGTCAGAGGTCAGTTCCAGCTGCAGGACATGAGCTTTGAACACACTTGTGTCAGTTTCCCATCTCCTTTACACATTTAAAGTATCCTTACTTATGTGAGCTTGCATGCATGTGTCTCATACAGGCCTGTGATATCTCTTTAAGAACTGCAAAGAGAGATTTAGAGCAAGAGACACTTGCTCAGAGGGGGTCCCACTAAGTGAATATTTGACCAGTTTTCCACCTTCTTCTTTAGAGTTCTGTCACACAGTGCTTAAGCTGGCATTACTGCAAACACAGATACATTCAATCACAGATTTGGTAAATATAAACATTTGACAGCATTTAAGTCAACTAAACCTACACATACGTTCTTACGTTTCCTTAGCACTACTACATTTAAGCACAGGATGCATTGTTGATGTTTTACATTAAAGCCTGTGTTAGTTTATACTGCAGCCGGGCCATCTACTGTATAGCCTATACTACAACAAAGGAGCTCCCAAAGAGGCTTCTCCATTTCCTTTGGAAACTGTAGACTGTCACCAAATCTGCTTTCATGCCACTGTCTCTCCCTCTCAGGGAAGACTGAGCTAGAGAAACCGCTGTTAAATAATGACAATAAACTTTCCCATCCTGTCACTGTGGAGCTCTGGTTCACTCAAACTACAGACATCAGATACTGTACAGTGAGAAATACATTGAGGATCATTTGCATGTAGATAGGATCCTTTTTATCAGAGCAGCGTTCACCACAAGATAAGTATATGGTGTAACTATATTTGGAGAAGGCAGTGAACTTCCACGATGACCAACAACATGTTACAAGGCTATTTTTACTGTAATGTATAATAAAGATCAACCTCGATTACCTAATTACAGTAATATCTTTGGGGTGTAGTTAAGGCAAATTGGTATTTACAGATATGTGACATTCAATAATATCTCCAAAGTAAAGCTGAGTATCGTGTTTGGTCAGTGCCTCTGTTATAAAGTTAAGAGATGGTTCACACTGTGCAAAAAACACATTATTGATATTTGACATGCAAAACATGAAACTACAGAATAAAAGGAATGGAAAAGGTTGATTAGGAAATCATTGCTTCCATTTAACTTTTCATTATAGCATTATTTTCTTTAATAGATTAAACATTCTGTTGCTTGCAATAAATGCTACTCGGCTGCATACTGTTTATACTTCCACATATTTCGTATGTATTTTTGCACCATATTTCACAGAACATATATAAATGTATGAGCATCACCTGTTGTGCTGGTTCCGTTGCTCTCCTCGGGTTTAGGACTAGGTCGAGTCGGATCTATCGCTGAAGTTTGGGAACTGGTGGAGCATCCCATCCTGCCCTGTGCTCATAGAGGACTGGATGGTAAACTTCAGAGTTGTGGGATGAGGAGAGGCGCTGATGACGTGGTGCATAGGCTAGATATCGGCTCTTTAAATGGCGAGAATTCAAAGCTGTGGACAGCGAGTCCCCGCGACGAGAACAAATGAGACAGGCTGGGAGTCAAATTCCTTTAGTCCTGTGCGTAATTACGCATCGTGTTTCCTCCTCCAGAAACGCGTTGAGCTGTTTGTGTTGTAGCTACAGGTCACTAAACAGTTGGTCACATAGGTGAAATGTGGGCTTCTGTTGTGTTCTGTTACTTAGGCTGTTTCCTGGAGGCTGCATGGCGCAGGTGCAAAAATACATTATTCAGTCAGAGTGCAGCGGCCACCTCTTGGGGAGGGGAAGTTAACAATAATGTAACCTCGCCAAACTCACATCTTGCCCACGGTCACTTGCGATTAATCAAAAATGTTAACCCTAAATTAATCCACTGGAAGGAAATTACATCCTTAATGTAGCAAGATGAAAAATATAATCATACTTCATTAGAATTAAAAGTCCTGCAATCAAAACATTAAATCATCATCATTAGCAAACTAATATCAAGTAAAATCTTAATGAGAATCTAAAAACGAATAATGCTGTGCAAGCTTGATTTTTGATCAAACATAATAGATGTAACAATTCAAAAAGTTATATAGATTAGCATTTGGAAATCAATAAGATAGGCTACTATATTATAACTTGTAATTGGCACACCAAAGTACAGCCGACTATGATTATTCTTATGGTATACTATACTATAGATGACTAATATTTTGGTAAAAAGCTTTGGTCAATATCATGTTTGCTTGATTTTAGACAATGTACATACAAATATTTTCATACATTGTGTGCTCATCTAATCAGAATGATGCGCAGTAGTCGACTGCGCAGACCCACCGACAGATATCCGCGCAGTGCACGCTGGGACTTCCTTTCTCTCCGAGGCCATATTGGAGTTAACTCACAGTAAGACGAGCTCCGAGTTTTCTTTATAAAAATCACTAGGATTTACACATTTTAACACTTTTGTTGTCTCCGCACATTAACGACAGTCTTCTCCTCTCGTCCGCAGGTTGGCCGGTCAGGACTAAACCGCAAAAATGGTGGCCGCAAAGAAAACGGTGAGTGCCGTTTGCTCGAGTGGAGTGCACGCGCTGCTCTAGGGCCAGGCTGCTCTTCACGTGGAGACCTGTTTCTGTTGAGGCCTGCTAGCTAGCAATGTTGCTCATTGTGCTGACGCAGTATTTACACAATTTTATATAGTTTCGTTTTACATTTGGCGGTTGTAAAAGTTTGAAAACATGATGCGACTGTCTCTCTATTTATTGACGTGTATATGTTTGTCGGTCAACGTTTGTAACTAATGACACCGCAGTGTTGCTAATGCTAGTATGCTAAATCATCCAGAACATTTTCTTAACCGCGGTAACAATCCCTACTAATTTACGATGTCAGCATATTTTAATGTGCTGCCCTTCGTGTTATCGTTTGTTAAATTACATATTTGTATGTCCCACATACAGTTTGGGTTTTTGCATGAACACAACGATGGACAAGTAGTTAGGTATGTAGCCTATGAGCATTCATTAACGTTAGCTATCTGTGTTTGTACAGAAAAAGTCCATGGAGTCCATCAACTCTCGTCTCCAGCTGGTGATGAAGAGTGGAAAATACGTTCTGGGCTACAAACAGTCCCAGAAGATGATCCGTCAGGGAAAAGCCAAGCTGGTCATCCTGGCCAACAACTGCCCTGCCCTCAGGTAATGCCTAACAAAGATGCAACATCATGTAAATGTTGGACAATGTATTGAAGGGTTCTATCAATAAATAGCTATTTTATAATTGTTGCAAGCAAAAGTTATATGGGGGTATATGTGAGTTGTTAATGGCTTGTTTGTCAACAACTATTAGGGTTAAGTATATCTTGTAGAAAGCATATTCAATATTGCATACAATAACACTTTAAATGCAGGTATATTATACTTGATAAAAACTGCATTTATAGCAATTATGTAATTTTTACATTATGTTGAAACTAATAAATCGTATCAAATTCCACATGAGAAGACCGACTTGGCAACAAACTGGATTGTGATTCTAGTTGACGGAGCTTGTTAAAAGCCTTGCATTATTATTATTATAAGGACTAGGATGTAAAGAGAATGGCATGCCAAATATTGTAGATATTTGTTAAAATCTTTATAACTAACTGCAGGGCCACTAAGTGACTTGCCTTTTCTTTATATGTCCAGGCCTTGAAGTTATGAACAGATTTTTTTTTAATTTTTCAGAAGATTTAAAGGCTGTAGATTCTGTTGTAAAGACTAGTTGAGTAACTAAAAAGGTGTCTATTCTTTGCCTTTTGCTGTTTTTGAGAGTCAACCTAAAAGAAAAGTACTGACAAGATGCCAGATAGTAGGCACTCCTCAAACTGAAGGAAGCAAATGTGGAGAATAGAAACACAAAATGGACAAAGCTTTTTCTTAAACTACGGAGAATCTGAGATTGGCTTTCATCTACTCACAAACACCACAACCCTGGTTAAGCCGGGGCTGAGTGGCTAGCCTTGAATGTTGCAATTACAACTCGCATTGAGCTTGTTTTTTTTTAGATTGTCGGGTTACTAACTGATCATTGGTGTTTAGTTTTCACCTTTTTGGGGATTTTTAAAACATGGTTGACCTGAAACTTTAACTAACATTTTTTCCTCTTTCTGCCCTGTCAGGAAATCTGAGGTTGAATACTATGCCATGCTGGCCAAGACCGGTGTCCACCACTACAGTGGAAACAACATTGAGCTCGGCACTGCCTGCGGAAAGTACTTCAGGGTGTGCACACTGGCCATCATTGACCCTGGTGAGTACCTACCTCCAGAGTAGTGCAGTCCATTTGAACCCTTTCCTTTCTAATGCCAAATACGTTTAGCCTGTTATTTGGTGGTGTATAGGCAAAGTTGATGCAGGGACATTAGCCCAGAGTGGGCCTGTCCTAGCGACTACTTTAATAGTACTCAACAACAACAAAAAACACCAACCCTTTCAATCACAACACTGCATTTGAATTATGCAACAGAATACAAATGTCATTCAATTAACCTATTCCTTGCTAAATATATATTGGTAGTCTAGTCCTAACATAATTGTATTGAAGGCATGCAATTATGAAAACATGTTTGGCTTCTAATGTGAAACTATTTCATGCACTTGAATCTTTTGTTTAAGCTGCGGAGAGTAGTAGCCAGATCTATGATGTAATGTAGCCTGAGATGATAAAGATGGAACTCAACCAGTCGGACTGCTAAAATGCTTCTATTGACCTTATTCAAATATTTTACAACTTTGAAGTGGTACCTTTCCCCAATAATGTTGACTCTGTTTATATATTAGTACGAGGTATTCAAATTTAAGCTGACGTTTTGTCCTTTTCTCCACAGGCGATTCTGACATCATCAGGAGCATGCCAGACCAGCAGCAGCCACCCCAGTAGAGCTGTTCCCCCGCCCCGTTGTGATAAATAAAGTCGGTGTTAACAGTATCTGCTGCTGCCGTGTCTTTATTATTAACAAGTGAGAACTGTGCCAGTCCTACACGTGTCCACCAGAGAGCATCAGTGTCCTCTTTGACTTTCTCAGATGAGTAAACTTCCATTTAGAATGTTTAGGTCTGTGAAGGAAATCCTCTCTGCATAGCTGTACCATCCCTAACAGCTAAACATGTCAAAAGTCATTCAAAACTAGATTTTAATCGGTTGAATATTCTTCAGAGACAAAGCGTGACCACAGGATTATCTGTGTAAATGACGATCCACCCAACTCATCAGTGGTGTTAAAATTACATGACTGCTGATCCTTGAGAACATTTTTTCTCACTGACATAAACCTTGGGGATGACAGTCTGCGGTATTGGCTGCAGCCCGCTGAGTGTAATGGAGAGGACGCTGTCCTTTCAGGGGTATTAAAGGCTTGAGTGACGGATGGCTTCGTCACACTGTAGATATCCTGACTGAGAATATATCTCTCAATGCCAGCCAAGAACAAGATGATTCACTCATGTTCAGCCACAGGAAAGTGTTAATTTAATTTAACCCATTACGTCTATAAATGATGATTTAGTGATCATGCAGTTCAGCTTGGGAAAGGAGTGTAAGATGCACTTTGAAGCAGCCATATGTTGACATCAATTCACCATCTATTTTAAAATAGTCATGTTGATTTAAACTGTTTTTGCAAGAACACTCAGATTTTGATGCCTCGAGTAAGACCTGATTAATCAATTAACAGAAAGTAAACACCCATTTCGTCTTGGGTATGAAGCTCCTTCAGTTATCCCCAATTCATAACCACTGCAGCGTATCTGTAACAAACATCAATGGACGATCGGCAGTGGATTGAAACTCACCTGAACTCTGTTGCATATAACTAGAGGGGGATACAAGAAAATGCTATTCTCACTGAGGCTGTAGTGTTTCCCCAGAGGTCAAACTGCAGCTTCAATGCTCTGCTGCAGCTGGTAGGGGTCAGTGCCTGGCTGATAAACAGTTTAGTAGCACAGGTGGATTAAACCTTATCTGTAACGCTGATGGACATCAGACTGAGGCCGCCACAGACCTTTTGGGGCCCGAGAAGAAGGCAATCCATCTCCAAAAAATATTTACATATATTTTACATTTCTATCAGTTTTTATATTACTGCTTAGTCTTAACAGTTTGAATATTTGAATAGTTTTTTTAACTGAGAAAACTGAGAAAGTCGTGCTTATTAGGACCATGGGATTAGGTAAATAAAACTGCAGAAAAAGAGTAAATGGCTGCTGGAATCAGTGCAACATACTCTTTACAGTGATCAAGGTAAACATTCAGAAATGCACTTAAATCATACCATTTTGGACCTTGCCTAATTACCACAATATTTTTATATTTTCTGAAGCATCAAAGGGAAAGAATCATGAACTGGAAAGAGATATACTGTAACATAATCCCATGGATGTCAAATCAAGTTCCACAGCGTTTGGGCTCGGTCATCTTCCCAGATACAGACATAAATCGTCCGTCATCCATCCAGTCGGAAAGTAGGTGAGCGTGTCTGTCTAGCTGACTTTGAGACAGCGGGCTAAATCCTCGCTGATCTGCCAAATTGTTTGTATCCAATGAGGGATGCAGTTTGTGAAGGCAGCCAGGAGCACCTATGCATATCAGCAGCATGCATTGACAATTATTGTTAATGTGATTCACTGACATTAAAGGTCCCATGTCATGGCCATTTCTACTGATCATAATTCCATTGTTGAGGTCTACTCAAATAGATTTAAATTGTGCAATTTTCCAAACTCACATTGGTTTCTCATACAGCATCTCTGTATAGTATGTGTATTCACTCTGTCCTAAACGGCTTGTTGGAGCTTTTATTTTGTTGTTGGTTTTTTCACGATGAAAATCAAAACTCAAGTTCTAAGACAAACATTGACTCAATGAATAAACACAGAAGCAGACACTTTGACTGATTTAGCTTTTTATTATTCAGAATGGAGACATGAGCTCATGCAGATCCAACAAGAGGATGTGTTTGAGTGGAAAGAAATGGAGAACAGTCTTGAAGTGATTCTAATAAAACGAGGCATCAGCCATCCACCGGTCCAGACACTGTACAAGCCTCTTCTCTAAAAACCCTTCAGTCAGTTTCACACAATGCAAAATACTGATTTGGAGCTGATTATACTAAATACATGTTAGCTACAGTATACTGTGGACAAGGTCAAATAAAAACACATCAGTTCCCAGTGAGCTCACGCTGACTTTAAAGTGCAGTTACCTTTTCAGCTTTGTTGGATTTGCTAAAGCAGTGGTCATAATTCACACAGGGAAAACATTGAAGGGGCCAACCAATTACCGACTACAGTATTAGTATCAAATGTGAAACTACTTCATGGTACTAGGGAGATGTTGAATGCAATGTTGCATAGTCCGAGGGAAAGACCTTTTACAGTATATAGCAAATACTACATAGGAAATATTGGAAAAAGGGGATTAGGTGTGTCTAATATGGTTTGCTCCATTATTAATTTTCATAATTGCCTGAATACCTTTAGGCAAAAGACAAGCTTCTCTAGCTTCATATACCGTATATTGATTTTGTGCTACTATGCTAAGCTTTAGATTCAGAGCCATTCATTCAAAAAAGGTCACCAGCACAGGAAATACCTCAACACGATATTGCTGCATAGGCAAAGGAAATGTTACTACATATAAAAGGAATCAGGAGTTACATCACAAAGTCACATAGCGCTCAGCACACCCACACTGAACGATTAATCCCGATTAAATGATGCAATTATTAAATCGCAAAGCCTGTGATTTTTTTGTTCTTCTTGTGTGTCAGTCATCCACACCAATCAGAAGTGCTGTGCTCCACATGTACCAGTCATTGTTAACCAATCAGAAGTGGCCCATGATAGTAGGTGATAGACAGATTGATCCAATCACCTGCCAAGTATTTTTGGAATACTTTTCCAAATGGCTTCCAATGGAGCTTTCCTAGATGGTTTCTGAGTCAGGTTAGTAATGCTCCATCACATGTTTTGCATCTATTACAGGGTGAATCTTAAACTGAAGCTTGACTTTAAAGCAACCCAACGGAAGTTTAGTTCTTTCACTCGTAGCTCGGGCTGCGGGGGTGCTAGAGATGGGAGCACGTTGATACGACCTTCCTAGCCGGAGATATGCATTTTACAATAAACTTCCATTGGGTCGTTTAAAAACAAATATCGCAAATCGAATCGCAATATTTGTCAGATAGATTGCAATTAGATTATTTCCCCAAACTGTGCCACCCAAACTGTGCCACACACACACACACACACACACACACACACACACACACACACACACACACACACACACACACACACACACACACACACACACACACACACACACACACACACACACACACACACACACACACACACACACGAAAATGCCCTCAGTCCAGCTAAATTATCTCAACTAAAAAGATCAGATTACACATGATCCATGTAAAACAAAAAAAAGACGTTGCTGTTGAAGCTGCAGCTCGACAGGAACACAGGACGCGCGTCTTAACACACTAATGTTACATATTATAGATTTGACTGTTTGTGAATTGCCTTTTTGGATGTGAAACTGTAATATTTATGTTTGTGTGCTTCTATGAACAAGATCATTAATGCCACTCTTTCTCGGAACAGACAGGAAGGCAAACTGGAATATTGTGATGGAGAAGAAAGGGTGAACAAGGTTTTCAACGGGCAGTCAACGGATCACAGGTTAACAGACAGTGTGTTTACATGGAAACAACAGGAAGAAGTAGTGGTCGAGGATCCTTTTTCATTAAGATTTCCTGCAGGACAGACCATGAACATATCACAACAGGACAGCCTTTCACTATCACTTATTTTTCTCTCAGTTTTTTACTGTTATACAAAAAAGTCATACAAAAATACCTCGACATTACATTCAATGAAGGAGTTTGTCAATTTCGGAAAAAAGTGCTCTTGCATAACTGATCGTGTATGTTGCTTTCCTTCTCACTCTCTGTCACTAACTCTCTTCAGGTAGTTTGTTTCTAGACAAAGTCCATGAGGGAGATTCACAGTATCAGGGGGTTAACAGTTGGTGGCCAAACCGGTGCACGTTTCCCTCAAAGAAAAGTGCACGTTGAGTTGGGTCAGAGTGTTCAGGGGGAGCCGGTGGAGTCGCTGCGATACTGTCCTTGGAGGAAGACAGAGGAGAGGGTAGGGGAGGAAATTACATCACAACAACCAGGGGAGGTGGTGGTGGGGGGGGGGGGGGGGGGGGGGAGAGTTGATGGAGGTCAGCCTAATTTAATATAAGTTTGGCAGGAATCCAAGATGAAACCAGCCTCTAAGACACTGTTTTGTCTTGTTTTCCAACATGTTCCAGCCAGTGTTTGGGTCCTAGTGGTGGGAGTGAGAGGTGGAAGGTGTTTGGGGGATGGGGTCCAACAAGGAGGACGTCTCTCATGCCTCCATATACTGGGGAGGGGGATCCTTCGGCGGTATAGCAATAGCCTCCTCGTACGGGGGCAGCAGAACCTGAAATGCAACACAAAAAAAAAGAAAATATCTCATTCGAAAGCATACCAGAATGCATCTTGATCCATTACGATGAATGAGCCAATCAGCCATTCTTGTGGAGACTTTTGAACACAAAAATGGACACACTGAAAATCAAAGAAACAAATGGGCGTCACAATTATGAGGGGCAAAAGACAACTGTTCAATCCCCCCCAGCATTTCCAAATGGGGTTTCAAGACTTATAATGCGGCTTTCACACCAGCGCTTTTCCCTTTCTAGCTACGCCCCGACACATGGGGTCACACCGGCCAATCACAAAGCTTTGATGGGTTCAAGTGCATTATTCTGGCACAGGAAGATTATGTTATAGGACATTAACGATAAAACAGAATATTGTTGTTCTATTTTTAGACACATATCGCGATCGACTTGGAATCTCCCCGCAATCGACTGGTTGGGCACCCCTGCTCTAGACCGACAATTTTTTGGAGCTGGAAGTGAACCGGATTCCGGAGCTAAGAGGCGGCGCCTCTACGGTGTGAACAGGAAAAACCGGTACTTTTCAGGCTCCAGCTCCGAGCCGGAGCTGAAAACGCGTTGGTGTGAAAGGGGCATAAGTGGTGCCACACAACAGATCTCATTCATTTTTCTTCTCAGAGCTACTAGTAGCAACACATTTAGCAACTTATTTACACCGACAGGATAAGAGTAAGAAACATATAAATAAATAAGAATAATCGCAGTCACATGTGGAGTTTCTCCCTCGCTGCAACCGACACAACCACTAAGCTTTACGTGTGATGACGTCACCAAAATGCAAACGAGCGTGTGCCGTTATCGAAGTATTTTTGGAGCGAGGGCTTTACACAGATTTGGCGATACTTTTCAAAACACTACTTTTAGTTTTACCACATTTACCTATTTGTTGCACTGTCTAGTAACTGCAAAGAACTGACTCATTAATAGCTGTGAAAAGTTACCGGAAATTAAAGCTTTATCCACTTCCTGTTTTGTTTGAGTAAAGGCTGACGCACTTCCTTTGCGCCGTTAATCAAGCCTTTTCCACACAGACAGAACTGCTAGTAAAAGCATTTAATTCCTCCCTACTTTTCCATACATGCCTATTGCCACTTTAGTATAGTACATTTGATTATAAATAGGAAGATATTCAGAGACAGCCTTAGTAACTGCTGCAGGTTTCTTCTCCAACATCCACACACACATCCCTGTGCTTTAAAGGCCAGAGAGCCTTGCCTCTGTGAACGGTGTTATAAAACCAGCCCTGCTGCTAATTCAGTGAGCGAGGGCGAGAGAGAGAGAGAATATGCTCAGAGGGGACGAATTGTGAAGCAGCCAGGGAGGCCCGGCGAACACATCACTGAGAGGATTTTAAATGAAGCGGACAAGCAGACAATTATGTAACATGTCCAGAAGAAGAGAGGACGGACAGAGATATATAGAGAGAAAAGAAGGGGGTGAAGAGTGAAGACTCTTGTGCATTTTAATGGCGTTTATATAAAAGCATGTCAGATAAGCAGCTGGGTACTTGAAGGCAGTAAAAAGCCATTTAGACACACTGCTGGCTTTCTAATAGTAAAAATAGATGGAGACCTCTTTTCATTCACCACCGTGCGGAGAGGGAACGCAGCGATGAAACCATGTCGTCACTTTTCATACTTTATGAGAGCTGTTTAACTAGCGTAAACGACGAGCCACAAGTATTCATTGAAATGAAATACTTCTCTTGTTAACAGCCTTCACTTTGACCTAGATGCCTCAGTTGTTCTTTTTTTTTAAATGTAGCCTAATCAACAAAAATAAATATTAGATTTTCTAGTATACAATTACACTTGTTTTCTGTCTCCATTAGTTTAATGATATACTAGGGCTGTCATCAGAGTTTCAGGTGAATTAGTTACATGGATGCTGATTAATTAATCGCTATCAATCCTATATATATATATATATATATATATATATATATATATATATATATATATATTAGGGATGCACGATATTGTTTTTTTGCAACCGATACCGATAACTTCCTGCTTCTCAAGACCGATACCGATAAAACAAAAAAATGTACGCCACTAATTATTTTAACGCGATTAACGCATGTGTATTTTTTTTCCTTGGCCGCCCCGTAGTTTCAGAGCGCATCGAGTTTAAAATACCATCTACAAGCTGATGCTGACAGCCCCGCTCCTGCCGCCCGCTTGTGGCAGACCACACTTCCACGCTCACCGGCAGGCACCGACTGGCCATCTGGAGGACCGGGAGGGTGTGTGTATGTGTGGCCCGAGCGAGCGAGAGAGAGTCCTTACGTGCATTGTTGTTGTTAGCATCTGGTGCTAGCTAGCTGCGCTAACGGATATAAGGAGCTGTTTAAATGAAAACAGAGGAGCGACATTTCGCCACAACTGCGCCGAGCACTTGACTTTATGCAGGAAGCCAGACAGTGGGACATTGTACGAAAAGTCAGCACACTCAGCACGGATAGTGCGCAACATGATTGCAGCGTCCAGGCAGCTCCGGTTCGAGCATATGCCTTGAGTTGCACATAGCTCCAACGCCCATACCACCGACGACATGTTTGTTTACTGTCCTGGCTTCACGAGTTAGGGAGCGCTGGATTTGTGAAGAACTCCCCTCTTCCTAAACCACTAATACCACAGTACTGGCAAAACGGGAGGAGCCGAGTGAAAAACAAGCGCCCCTCATCCCAATCCACCCACACCGCAGTATTTTTTTCTTTTTTTTTACCCAAAAAATATATTGTATATTATCGGAGCTATTAATACTGGTATCGGGTTTATCGGGATGACGTCATAATTCCTAATATCGGACCGATAATTATCGTGCATCCCTAATATATATATATATATATATATATATATATATATATATATATATATATATATATACACAAATATTTGCTTGGTAAAGCCACTAGAAAATATTTATACTCAAAAACATTACATTAAGGGGGCACATCTTTTTTTCTACTTTATCAGATTAATTTGCACTGGGACGAGAGCAACACACAGTAAAAAGGAATTAAGACCGTATTGAATAACGCACAAATATTGTTTACGCTGCTTGTATGTACTTTGTTATACATAAGAAAGATATGCCATCTATAATAATAATACACAAAAGAAATACTAATACACTAGATGTAATTTCTTGCTTACTCTATCTATCTAATTACATTCTCAAATAATTGCCCAATAAAGTATTTTCTACACCGAGTGTCTAATTTCAAACGTATTTTGAATATATGGACACATGATACACAGTGTGATATAAGACCCTATGGATTACTTCCTGAGGCATGTCCATGAGAAGGACAAATGGACGGATTGATGAGGCGCTACATATTGAGACGACAGCAGGTGAGACAGATTAATGAGCGATGTATCAACAGGAGGATTACTGACAGACGAACAGACGAATGGAAAGCGTGACGAAGCTAAAGCCTCTCAGAAACCCCATGAGTCAACACTGACAGGGACCAAGTGGGATGATGGACGAGGGAGGAAGCGGCTCTGCAAAGCCGGCCAATCACAGCTCAGGAGGATCTACAGCACCTACTGCTACCCAGGGCAACAATGACACTTCACTGACCGCCAGACAACTGAGATACACCGCTTTCTGATCGACTGATAATTGGCAATACACTGTGATGTGTGGCCTGATTTTATTGTGAAGTTGATGATGTTGATATGTTTTACATACATGTACAGTATGCTCTAGCCTTTTTATTATTGATATTTAAACAATACAAATTACAAAACAAATTGTCAACAGATTCCCGTCTTCCTTCATTATATGGATTCAGAAAATGTGTCAAATCTGAGGTTAATTCGTTTTTTTCCGAGTTTAGCATTTACTGCTTTCAAAAATGTGTTGATTTAATTCTAAGATTCTAAATTCTGCTAATCTAAGCACACGTCAAGCTATGTAATCTATGACATACATATCACCAGTGATGTCTATAATCCTTACCTTGTACATTTAGAGGTATCAATTCACTGAGCTGCAATAATATACACAAGTAAATACAATCTAAATATTAGTATAGGGTTATAAAACTTCACAAAGCTTTAGCCTAGTACACGATATACTTATTGAGGAGCACTACTTTTCAAAGCTGGATGTATTTTTCCCATATAAAGAGAACTGATAGCTTGTAAGCCACAAAAAAAGAATGCTGTGTGAGCGCAATTATATGATGATCTGAGTAAGGGAAATATTCAGTTTGTCCTTGCGGTGAGGAGGCGAGACTCACCGTGGTGTCATTGGTGGTGACATACACCAGGACCTCCGTGGTACCCCGGCCGCTCACATATCTGTAGCAGTTCCACACACAGCCAATCAGGTAGGCCTGTCCCCGGGGGGTGAGAAAAGAGACAAAACAGTGACCTTTAACAATATCGTCCCCACTTTTCATTATTGCTGAGGCTGCTTGCCATCACCTCATCCATCCATGAAGGTTAGGGATGATGATGCCATAGATATGTCATATCAAGTCTTAATAGAAGATTGGTATATAGGGTGCTGCAGAAATTAGTCCTAACCTGAAAATGAGTTAGCATTCTTTTATTTATGGTAACTTAATGTCGAGGTCGATGTTTTTTTTGTAATGGGTTTTTTGTACAATGCCTGAAATACGGATTTACGACATGAAATATGCCCATAAAAGCACCACTCTGGAATTTTGAAGCCTTCACTTAAAAAGGAAATTGATAAACAGTTTACCACTTGTGAATATTAAACGCCATCAAGCCAAACATGTTCACCATCTGTTCAGCGATGTTGACATTGAATTTATTCACATTTTTGGCTGGTTTATAGCCTCACATTATCCTTTTTTACTTCTTGCATTTACACTTTTAAAATCAGACGGTAGTGTTCATTTGTGAATATTATCTTGCTGTAAAAATAACGTCTATTTGTTGGTCACAGAGTTTAATTTTGGCAATAATCAAAAAATCTAATAGGAACAAGCCATTGGCTTTTAGTCGACTGAACCAGGATACCAACTTCTGGAATGGCCTACACAAGTTTCTCCTCCCTGCAGCTCTCTTCTAGCTACCTTTTGGACATTACAGTTCAGGGTACATGGCAATTGGATAGAGTTGTACTAATGTAAGAACTCATTTCAGCCAAGGCAACTGACCAGGCATCTCCTGCCCTCAGTAAAGTTACGGTAGCACTCTGGTGAGGTTGGTCTGACTTGGCAGAAGAACAGGAGGTTCATTGTGAATGTGTGTATGTGTGTGAGTAGCCTGCTGAGTCGCTGCCTCTGCCAGCAGGAAGCGCAACGGACCGACGAGGAAACCGGGCTGCCTGCTTTCCAATCACGTTCCATCTGCTGAGCCGCCCTCCTCGCTGTGACACCAACACTTTCAATCACAATGATGATGTGCTACGCTGGCACTACTCACTGAAATGAAGTCTGCGCTCGACCTTCCTGCCCATAGGATTTACATTTCTTTATTCATCCGCCCATCAACATCCCTTTCTTCCCTCTCCAGCTCACCTTCCTGTCTATCTGTATCCGTCATTCAGGCAGATATTATTCTGTCAAGTGCAGTCAAGTGGAGGATGTTGGCTTCAGCAGGACCTTCAGCAGGTGTTGCCTGTGTGCTCACAGCTCAATGCGTCCTTGAGGTTTCAGATCTGGCCCTTTTCCAGGGAACTGACTCACAAACCGTCACTACAGTAGCTAATATATACAGTACAGTGCAGCATATCAATACAAAACAGGTTCTATTAATGTTACCTGGTAGATTTCCAATTATATGAATCTATATTTGCTCTCAAATGCTGAAATGTAAGCAGTTAAACTACCCCATACTGTGTGTCTCTCTGCCTGAGACTCTTCTCTCTGTAAACCCAGCAGTGTATCTTCCAGTTGCTGCTTCCTATCATCATAAAACCCTGGCTCTGGCTTTGGATATCTGCCGAGAACATTTCCAATCTGAGCTTAGAGGAAAAACAACTTGATTTGATTGTACAGATGACTGAAACTTCCTGTCCTATCTCATCCCGGAGCATCGCTACGCCTGGAGAGTCATCCATGCATTAAGGGGGAATGAGCTTGATTCCCCCTTAGGAAACAGTTGGTTTCCTGTTGTCTCTGGCCCGCTGCTCTCTGACTGTGAGATAATCCCATGAAAAACATTGATAATGGGAAAGTTCACACTGGCAGATTCATTACACACGCCATATGGTTCGTAGTGCATGATATGCGCACAGTGTGGGACTTAATTTACGTTGCAATATGACAAGCACATCTATAAAAAGCTCTAGAGGGAACACATGTTCAGTGAGTGTGTGTAATGTGTAGACATGTGTTGCATATATTCATTTTCAAAGTATAACATTTTCTATTCATGTTCAGATGGATGATGTGGTTAAAATAATCAAAGCTTGGCCGATGGGTTGAATCTATGAGCTCACCTTGAAGGAGAGGATGCAGCCAATGAACAGCAGGACTGCAAAAACTAGGCACATGTTGTTGGTGGACATGATGTCCTCTTTGTAAGGGAATGTCCCTGGCTGAAAGAGAGGGATACAAATAAAAACATTTCAGGAGTGAAACAAAAGACTGAAAGTTTCCTTTAACAAATCAGCATCTGACAAAACTTTAATTCCTATAAGAAATACACTCCTAATCAACATAGCTAAGACCTGTATTATTCCTTAGTTTTCACTAAACGTCCCCTTTAGCAGTGCTACAAATCAGGCAGTTATCACTAAATATCAAAGCAGTGAACCATTCCTTAATATAAAATGTGTTGCATTGTAACTTAGCTCTACATATAGTATATACAATATTTCACATACAAAAACCACCCTGCAGTTTTAAAATACATCATTAAAAGTAGGAGTTTTGATAGTAGGTAAGTAGTACTCACCAGTTGCTGGAGGTAGTCCTGCACCGTGTTGGGATAAACAACAACACTAATGGCTACCAGTGTGTTCAGGGCAAAGTCGAAGATTTGGTAGCAGAAGAACGGAATGATCCAAGCAGCATGTTGCTATGTGGGAGAGATGGAGAATAGATGAATAAACTCAGGAAAAAAGGCAAGTTGTTTCTTAAGTTCAGATTTCTGTTTGAATATCATTTGTATTGCTTGTGTAATTTACCTTGTAAGCACCATATGTTGCCATGCCACATATAAGAATCATGAGCAGGGATATCGCAGTGGCTATGCAGATATCTGCAAAAACATAACAATATTTAAAACAGATGAATCGTGACCCGCAGTGACTGACGTAATCCAAAAGTCTTTAAAGGAACTGGATTCTACAAAACCAAACACCTTAGGTAGCCTCACTGTTTTAAGCTCTGCTCTGGTCAAAACATGATCAGCACGTGGTTCATTGTTATGCAAGTTGTGCTAAATTTAACTAAATATAAAGCCCCTCTGACTTTCGCATTACATCTTAGAAAACTGACTGATGAGATGCTCGTAATTGCACTTTAGCAACGTTTAAAAAAAAAAGAAGTTTTTATTTATAGATTAATGGCTGTCTTTTATTAACCATTTACATCTTATTGTTTTACTATCAATACATTTATGGTAATTTATAGAAGGTAGACATCTTGCATTTTCCCTCCCAAGACATCTTCATGTTATTTATAAAAGGTTCAAACTTTTCATCGCATTGTTTTTGATGGACTTGTTAAAACAAAGTCATATTGACATTTTACCAATGCTCACTTTTTGTATTAAAAGTCAATGAAGAACATTTAAGTGAATTGGAAATGAAAATGAAAATTCAAGGGATAACAATATTAGTTAATATAATAAAAATAGATAAGGACATTTATATTAGATTTTATTCTATTAATAATTCTAATTATTATTATCATGCCTTTTTCTTGTTATTACATTCAGTGTCTTTCATAGTAGTTTTTTTGATTTGGCAGCAGTCATTTGTTAATAAAGCCTATTGAGTTTAATTCAATCTAACAAAGAGGGATTCACGGACATCAAGTTAAACAGGATGTCTGCCTTGTGCAGTTTGGTGAAAGGGATCACTATGCAACATCGGCACTTATGGAACTTGGTAATCAGACACAGTACTGACAGCTAAACAATATAATCAATGAATCTCTGGTCATCTTTGTCTGCATTATTAAGAATGACACCAAATTCAATGATTGAACATAGAAAAATAATGAAAAACTCATTGCAATTTCTCTATATCCTCATGACTGAGCAGCAGTGATTATTTCAGTAATGATACTGTGTTAAAACCCAGGAAATGATGATACCATACCATCTTAATCCCTTGCAACACACTAGACACAGGGACAGATGTTAACACATACTATAAATAAGCAATACAGGCATAAATAGATGCACTGCCACCCTTCGCCCAACACAGGTCATCTACACAATCTGAGCTACGTTTAATTACATCTCTGCATATGGTCACAGTGAGTTTGGACACCTGCCTATTACAAAAACCCAACATCAGCTTGTCTCTATCTTTTCCTGCAGTTTCACAATCTTTGACTGATGCTGCACAACCAACAATGCCATCAGTCAAGATGGCCGTTTTAATCAGAAAGAGAACTGGAGCAGGGTTTTTAAATCAGAGTAGCTAGTGACAGAGATTGTGGTGTTCCAGAGGCGACTGTGATGATAATAGCAGCTGGAGGGGAAATACTGAAAATACACATGCACACTGATTTGTTCTGTGAGGAGTCGGGCCTACTCAGCTATGTCTGTGCTGAGAGCAGCACTCTGGGAAAAAGAAGCGGTGAGCAGAAAGGAAAAGGGATTTTAGAGCTACAAAAACACACAGCGCTTTAAGGACATGCTGATGATTTTGGTAGTTAGTTACTGTAAAATGTTGATACCGTTTTGTTTTAACAGTCTTATTAGATATATGTGCCAAAATAACAATTGGGAGATTTTAAATATTCTACTTAAGTATAGAGAAGAGATTATGTGTTGGTTGACTGAATGCATCGAAGACAACAGTGTCACACTTTGGGATTTCTTTTGTTATGTTGTTGAAATGTTTTCGCCATTACATGTCACTAGGGTCACTCGTAGACCTGTTATCTCAGAAATCGTATATCATGCAATAACATTGGAATTAATTGTCTTTTGTGTTATTGTGGTGGTATTTTTCTGTTGAACACACTGTTTGAATGAAATGACCATGCTGTAAAGTTGACAACTAAAGTAATTACATTAATTATATTGAATATTTAATGACATTTGAAGAAACAATTTGTAAAATACAGACACAATTAGTTTCCTTTTAAACTGAATATTAAAATTAAACCCTTCAGAGTAATTTAAACTATTTCTATGAAATCTTACACAGAAAATCATAATAATACATCTTGAACATTTAATTGAGGAAGTCTAATCAAATATACAGAATGTAACGCGTCAGATATGATACAATAAAGGGATTATTTCCACTCACTTGCATCGTCCATGACGTCGATGTCAGTCCCCAGCTCAGAGCTGGTAAGGTGGTAGCGGTATTGAACCGGGTCATTGAGAGCCGACAACAAGATGAGTAGAACCACCGCATTGATGAGCTGTGGGGAAAAAAAGATCAATATTAATATTACATATCATAGCAGAGTTATTCATTTGTACGTTCTCGGATTAACTTTCAGATAATTTGATCAGGTGGTTCAGCGTTCCTTCTTGGAGTTGGATGAAAGTAATACAAATGGAAAAGTAATCTCGGGTTAGGTAAAGGATTATTAGACAAGGTTTTTGAATTGAGTTACTCTGATTTGATAAAGACCAACTGTGTGGTTAGATCTACTGGACAAATGTCCTATAGCTTCATGAAAAATGTATTAGGACTGCAACTGGCTATTATTTTGAACTATTAAATTCCTCAATTATTATGTTTCTGAATAGAAATGAAATAAAATGGCCACAAATCCCAAATTCAAAGAGCCCAAGGTCACATATTGAAATAGCTGGTTTTGTGCAAATTCCAGTCCAACATCCAAATACATTTAATTCCCAATAATGGCAGTGGAAAGCAGTAAATCATCCGATTAGAGATGCTGGAAGTGAATAAAAAGACGACTTGATTATCACAATTTGTATCAAACACTGCCAATTGTTTGAGCAGTCACATTGATAGCCTGGCCGTATATGGTATTTGGTGAACTGACAGGTGCAGTAAATCATCTGTCCAACCAGCTTTATTAGCAGCAATGACCACATAAGTCTTATTTATGTCCCTGTGGAAAGTAAAAGCATGGTATGGCGGTAACAGTGTGTTTCTTTGTGAGGCCTTGGCTCTCTTTGAACACAGAGTTGTTTAGTAGTAGGGTCACAGAGAGAGGGGGACTAACGGTTACGAAAGGTCAGGGATTTAACAGGCTTATTGCACTATGTTTACAACTTTATGTTATCCTGTGGTCCGAAACTGAAACAAACTCAAATACAAATGTAGGGAAAAAACCTATGGGATGTTATGGTGATTTTATTTCAGCACAACAAAAAGTGTAACGTCAAAGCTTGAATTAATAACGGCTACAAACTGTGCTACACAATACATGTTGTTATATGGTTATTTGTTATTAAAAAATAAATATATAACGGAAATAGGAGTCAGTTGGCGGTTTATAAACTAGCAACGTAGTTAAATTCCGTTACATTGCTCTTTAAACCGAGGGGATCCTCAAAATGGCAATTCCCAAATGAGTGAAAGCGATAAACAAGTGGAAAAAACAGCAGCAGCTAGCTAACATAGCTTTATTGTGGTAAAACTCACATGAAACGTGCATCTAATTTTCTACATTGTTAGCCCTATTTGTTGTCATTTTGCACCTGACATCGAGTGAAACACCTCACTTACCATATACCATATTCCCAGAATAATGGTGCCCGTCCGTACATGGCAGCAGAGGCAGCAGCTCGTCGAGTACCACCGGTCCCACGGCGAAATCATGGTGTTATCCTGCTATGAATTTCAAGTTATTTCATGAATGCCGCCGAAAATGAATTATTCAATATTTATGTGTCCTAAAAAAAATACGGACCGCTTCTAGTTCCGCCACATCGAGTGTATGTCAGAGACGATGTTCGGATGTTTCCGCTGGTGGAGGAGGACTGGCAACAAGCAGAGCCTTAATCTGGCTCATCCCGGAGTCACGTGACCAGGATTTTCACCGAGGGATGCAAACAACATATTTCAATTCCGCTATTACATGATGCTGTCACACACTTACTCACGCATATCCTGTGGGGACCGTTTGTTACTGGGAAAAATTGAATAATTTGGCCTACTTTACTGTTACAATGAAGCACCCCCGAAAATGTGTGTCAAAACATTACCATTGCCTTTTCCCTGGATGTGATTGGTACAGTGTGTGCTCAACACTCAATCAGTCCTTTTTCCTGTATATCATCAGTGTGTCAGGGCTAAATTGTGGACCTTGACAAATTGTGACTATGTTTTCTTTGAGAAAATGCACTATTTATGCACAATAGAAATGGGTCTCAAGTCGGTTCTAGATTCACTTCATCATGAGGCCATGTTTTAGTAAAGTTAAATCTAGTTTTAAAACCTCCTAATCTGATGTTATCTTTATATGATGTATAATCCTGCATTAACTTGTGTTTAAGAGTGATTTTTAGGAGTTTCTAGAATGATATATTGTGTCACCCTTGGAATACTGCACACAGTAGGCCTACAGAGAAGAGAAAGAAGAGAGGGTTAACAAATGTGGAAGATCAGTCCTCTATTCTTGCAAATAAAACATTGATCTCAAATCTAGTACACCCATGGACACACTTGCATTTTGTAGTTGTATTTTTGTGGATACATATGTGGTATCTCTGGATGTATTGTTGTCAAGTTGGATGCATCTTTGGGGTTCAGTTTTTTGCCAGAAAGTGTGTTATACAACTATAATGTTACTGTGATGTCCATATTGTATTTAAAAACTATAATAAATAGTGAAATCTGTGTACACTTTTCATAAAGCAAAGGACATACTCTTAAAATTAGGCCGGATGACCAATCAGTGTCCTGTTTTTATAAATCGATATATTCTTGACATGAGGTAATACAATGAAACCTACTGAGATGTCACCATTCTTTTTGAATATCTGTCTCAATGTAAATGACTAAAGATTGCTGTGTATTAATGCCGTGTTTGAACAAGAGGCACATCTCTAATTTCATGTCAGTTTCTCTCTCTGTCGGAGCAAACATCCAGGATCAGGCCTGACAGATGGGCCGGTGACCAAACACTAAGCTCTGGTGGGTGGACCGCATCATCGTCACATTAGGGGATTTTCCTCTCCTGCCATGACTTAATACTGACCAGACTGCCACCTCTTTAAATGCTGGAACACAATCTGAAGAGGATATCTCAAGCTGATGGTCCATTTTCTTCAGCTTCAACCCGTTTCCATCAAAGAGAGTTTTTATGAAATATTAAACTGGAGTAGAGAGAGAGCTCTGACATAACGACAAAGCCTTTTAATCTTTTTCTTCTCAGACCTGCTGCAAAACAATCCCAAAGCCAGTGTTTGGGTGAACTGGTTTGTTAGTTCGGCTGTATAATTTCATAACAATATACTAACTTGGTTCAGCATTGCAATATGTGAAGCCTATGGGTTTCAGACACAGGGACCTTTGATGAATCTTTTTTTGAAACGGCATTAGCGAGTGATTTTTTTAGCAGGGCTTTGAGCAACTGCAGTACCATCCATTAGAGAGTGACCTTTACTATTAATATATCTGACTGTCATATGAACAAACAAGAAAGAGGGTACAATAATCCTCTGGCAGGGAAGAATAATGAGAAAAAAACCTGATATCCCCCTAAAGTGAAGGTGAATGGACAGTGAGAGTCAGAGTTTTTGGGAGATTAAAAACGGGTAAATCCTAAAAGAGCTGAGATTTAGGAGATGGAGAGGCTGATGAGATGAAGGAGGTCAGGATTTGAGCGTGCCATGCGACTGCCTCACTACATTGACTTGGGCAGCGGTTTGGCCTCACAGGAGGGGCACTGCTACCAGGGGCTGGCTGCTGACACAGATGTTCACCATAACACTGGTGGCTGTCTTGTGCACTCATCCTTGGCTGAGTTTGATGTTGAAATTGGATGACATTGTTGATGATGTTGTTAATGATGTTTTAAGTGTCGGACCCCAGGAAGAGTAGCTTTTGTCAAGAGCATAAGCTAATGGGGATCCTAAATAAACATAAACATAGCGAGTCCTCATATTTGATTAATCATAGATTTGGGATTAGTTTGACAGAATACATAAAAACTAGAGACCAGTGGAAGAAAATAACGTTTGTATAAGAATGGCTTGCGTGTCATTTTCTGCTGCATTAAAATGCCCCCTAGTCCTTCTTTAAGTTTATCTTGGCATTAAAACATGATTAAAAGGTGGCAGAATCATCAGTGCAGGACAACATATACAACAATATAATTAGCCTGAGGAGCTCTGGATGTAAAAGTCAAAGTCATCTATAATATAAACATTTTATCCTCAAGCCCTCTTTTTAATATATCATTTTGTTGTGTTACTCTAAAGCTTTAAGCCTCAAGAAAAGAGACACAAACTATAGTGTTGGTAAGTCGGCTTTATGTGGGGTACACACTACACAAGAAGAAACAAAGCTCTGCATTTTTCAATTTGTTTTAAATAATATCTGGCCAGATTTTCCTGTTGTGTGAGGAATATGTGTGTGATTAAATCCCCAGATCTCTCTGATTTCAAACATTGAGGTTTCAATATCCTGTTAAGGAAAGGTGAAAATGATAATTACGTGTTGTTGTGTGTAAATTCCCTCACTGGTTTAACACATTTATAGGTTGTGTCAGCATTACAAGACAAAAGATGCATCTCTATGACAATGTGATATCAAGCAATTCTCATTTATTTGTACCAAACAAACATATAAATATCATTTTGTATCTCCTTAATAAACCAAATCATTCACATAACAATGTGCTAGAGACAATTATATAAATAAATAGATTAAATCCATTTAATCATCAGTAGAAATGAAACACAAAAGGGCGCCTGAAGCCACAGCGAAGTATCATTTTGTTCTATCAGCTTCACTAATATATGCTGATCAACACCTCGATGCACAAAGCCTCTCCGACCTCCAACAACAGACTCATGTTAGTGTCTGTTGTTGGATTCCCAAAGAAAAAAGCTGCCACTTGTCTCATTAAAAAAAAGCTCTTAGATTATATACACTGAGTGGTACCAACAGTTAAAGCAAGAGATCATTCATTTATTTTTGTGTACACAAGTACTTTTATCAAAGTCATGCAAGATGAAATTAATTTCAGACATCAAAGCTTGCAATTGGTTGAAAACTATAAAAACATGCACGTTCTATACAACTACAGGTTAAGGCAATGGAATTGAATTCCTTGAATATGTGTAATTGTGTTTGTCTTGTTTAAAAACAACTTCGATGTTGAATTAAAGCTGCTCCATATCATATCTTTATGTACGTCTTCATTCTTAATTTATGTAAAAAAAATCCCCATCGTAAATCCGGGGGAGTTAGGTTAATCAAAAGGAATTTCACATTTTACATTCTGCAAAAAATAAGTAAAAAACAATGTCTTGACATAAAAAGGAACTGAATATAGCCTTTAGCACAGTGCAATCACAGGACTGGAAAAAGCCCTTACAATCTGTACATATGGCGTGGCTCTTTTTCTATCACAAAAACTGGAAGAAACCGTTTTTAAAAAGCAGAAAGGACCATTCAGTCTCTAAAAAATTAACGAACAGTCTAGTTGGATAAAGACAGACACAATCAAAATGATAAATGTGGACGGAGGGTACTCAATATTTTGACTGCTTTATGGGATATTCCCACAACCGCTCTTCTTCACAATACATTGCCCCCTGGTGGTTCATATCAGTTACTGTGCTCTCTATAGAAGAAATAATCTGAGCTGATCAAAATCTGATGAGTTAATATTTGTTCAGACGTCTGTGCTCAAACTCGTCATCACAGTTTCAGGCCTCGGTGTATCGAACCATATTGTGGAGACGGTATGATAGGACGGGACATACTACCACCGCTCTTAAGGACAGTGAAGAGGTGGAGAGGTTTCTAACGCTAACATTTTTTTTTTTCTGCTGTGAAACAACCTGATAACAGCTGCCCTTCTTCTTAAAAGCAGCATTTATAAACTACACAGCCTACAGGAAACAAGTGTTGGTACTCAAATGACAGTTTTAGGAGATGTTACTTAAAGGATAGACAGACCTATCTTAACACAACACTCATATGTACGTTGAAAGAGTAATAGGTCACTATAATAATATCTTCTTTCCATATCGTCTATGTAGTGATACCTTCATAGATTGAGTAACAATGTACAAAATGCTTTTTTGCTGTTAAAAAATGCTGGCTAAAGTTGTGTCAAAACTAATGTGAGGCTTCAGAAGTCGGAGAATGCCTTTGTCAGGGCAGTCGTATGTAGTTTTATCGTCAGGGTTTTGTAGCTCTGACTGTCAGGAAGTATAACTCACACCTCAGAAACGTGGCAAACACAAAGGCTGAATGTTGTACTAATAAAGCCATGACTTCGGAAAAAAAAAAGAAAAGCTTAAGCCTCATGCTAGCTTCAGATAATCTAGATTGATATTTTGCCCAGAACAATAAGTGTGGATTTGTGTTTCTAACTTTGCAGCTTTTTAAGGGTATCGCATCATGGCCAGCACACAAAGGGGGTCCGATTACAGCAACCCTCAACTTTCTATCAATATCCGTACAGGTATGGAAATGTTGTACTAAAATGAAAAAATCTGAACCTATCCTCACACACATTTCAGTAATTGATACAAGGGCAGACACTGTCAAACAAAACAAAGTGCAATATTCTGGGGAGCAAAATGTATGCTTATCTTGTAACTTAAATGTTCACATAACAACAAATTAAAATAAAACCCGTATTTTGTTTCTTTTTTTGGGTTAAAACATACACTCTTGGAGGGAATAACACTATTGATGCCATACAAATAATTACATAAGCATGTACCTCCACTTTCCACCTTGCCTGAAACTCCACTCTGGTCGCAGTGTAGCAAATAGTGCAAATTAGTTAAGATTTAAGTCCACAGGACCACGGTTCATCACTGTATTTAGCCAAGCAGGGGATGTTCACTGCTTGTTCTTCTTTGTATTGGTAGTTAAACTGTTAATGTAGCTCAGAAAGAAACTCTGTACCTTGTAATTATTGCATGTGACACATTTTACAATCATTTGCATATGTTTTAGATGGACCTGTGATGTGACCTCATGTTTCCTGTCAAACTTTTTTCTTCTGGGAGCCCTTTGGAGGCTCCGCAGTCTGCTCAGCCTTCTCTGCAAGTAGATACACAAATTAACATTAGCACGTTTTTAAGTACCATCTTAGTATTGCTTTATTTCATCCATGTGAGTGAATATGAAGCTATGGACACTTACTCTGAGAGGAGGATATGCTCGGGTTCTGCTTCTTTGACGTCAGCACAGGAGGCTCTTGGGGTTTGGGTGTATTGACCAAAGGAACTGTACTCACCATCTACAACCAAAGAAATGCAATACAATTACAAAAACAGGAAACTACTAAGATATTAATCTGACCGCTTTCTGTTTTTTTTTAACTTGCCTGAGCCCCAGATGCAGCCTCCTCATCTGATTTCTTCTTCTTTTTCTTGCTCTTCTTGGATTTGGCGGCTCCACCGGCGACATCATCAGCGTCCTTCTCATCCTCGGATACCTTCCAAAACAAATAGAAATGTATACAATTAGTTAACAGTTGTGTCTTGAGCAGAAAAGCAATTAAAAAAAGGATAAATCAAGAATATTAAAAAGCCTCCTTAAAATTGTATTAAAGGTCCCATGTCATGCTTTTCCGGTTATTACACGTCCCCTTGTGTGTTATGTAGCTTTGTATGCATATAAACGGTCTGCAAAGTCACAAACCCACACGCAGCATTCTCATCTGTTTGTCATTACTGGTGTCATTTTCTGGTTGCTAACGCCATTGTAACACATAATCACTGATGTTCCGCTGTAACGGTGGTGGACTCATCAGAACAGAGTGGGCGAGCTGACCAATCAGAGCACAGTGGGCTCATAGGGAGGGAGGGCAGGAGCTCCAACAAGCCGTTTAGGACAGAGAGTGAATACACACATACTATACAGAGATACTGTATGAGAAACCAATGTGATTTTGGAACATTGAACAATGTAAATCTATTCTAGTAGACCTCAACAATGGAATTATGATCAGTAGAAATGGCCATGTCATGGGACCTTTAAAATAAAGGGATACATTAAATCTCTAACAGATGTGATTATCCATGTGTGTGATTTGGCAGTGAAACCTTGTTGGGTGCCGGCTGCTCCTTCAGTGGAGGCTCTGGCGTCTCCATCACAGGGGGCTGTTCATAGTTTCCCCAGTGCTCTGCCGGGGCACTCCAGTCAGAGCTGGGGTCTGCAGCTGCTATCCCATCTAAAGAAAACACAGGATGTCGGTTGGACAAAACATACAATAAATACAATTTCACAAGTATGTTAGTTTTGAGTAATGGATACTTTCCCCGTTTATTACATTTAAAAAATTTGGATTACAAATCATCTCAATTATTTTGCAGCATATACTTGTTATTATCTGCTGTATTAGAAGTATGTACTGTATGAAACGGTTGCTGAAATACTCACTGAATCCAGACCATTCATCATCAACACTAGGGCACCTCGCCCACTGCAGCTCCATTGAGTTTGATATTGAGTCTAACAAAAAAGTCAGAAGGTGATTAAGAGAGAGATGGAGGTAAAAATAAAGGAAAAACCTAACAAATTAGTTATTGCTAAAAGACTAACATTTAATAACAATACCAACCTGTGGTGTTTAGCCCCAGCATGGAGAAGTTCACAGGGTTTGGGTCAGTCTTTATACGGCCATCAATGCTACTCCATGCTGCAGGCGAGAACACACAGAGACATTATAATGATATGGTTGGAATGCTGTTCTGGCAAACAAACAGTTAATATCAGGTTTGGCAACATCCAATAACTCCTTAAAATTTTTTTTTTTTTCCTACTGTCAGGGTAGATGGAGAACCATAATGCTGTCATTCAGCAAACCTCAACCCTAAAAACGCCTTCCACAGCCTTACAAACTGATGTATTACTGTCGGCAGATTTTATCATATTGTTATTTCATTGTAATACATTTCAGTTCCCATATGACAACTGTATTGTGTTTTGCTGTGTTTAAAGTAAACCCCTTGACATTCACCAAATAGACAAAGGTCTTGGCCAGGAAATAACCCCTTAGTGTATATCACCTTTTAAAGTTATAATTTCTATTTTAATGTTTGGTGTCTTTGTTAAGTGAACTGTTGATTTAATTTTATACTTTCAATAAATTATTTCACCTCCTGCTAACAAGGTAACTCTACAAATGCTAGAATACGTTTTAACCATGGTACAAATCCTTATAAATGCCATGACTATGCCCCATCTGTCCAGCAGAGGGCACAGTTGCACACAGTCTTCAATTATGAATGGAGCATTGTAACTTCTGCTGTCATACAATCATGATCAATGTTTATTTCTGTAGTGAAAAGGTCTACCCAGGTTGAGGATGTACCTTGTGTCTCCTGTCCCCAGGACTGAGGCTTAGGTGGGGCCCTGTACTGTGTTGCCGTGGTGGTGGCAATCCACTTAGGTCCGTCCATAGCACCCATCTGACGTGGGATCTTAACAGACATGTCAGTCCAACCTCCTCCATTGACTGAAGGCTCCTCTCTGCGGCTGGACGTCACTGAGGACATGGACAGAGTCAAAATGTCAGTTTTGTCAAACAGAGACAATCTACAGTCTAACAGCAGATTCTGTAATTTAGAGCTGAGATTACTGATTCTAAAACCATTGTTTACAGGCTTGTTTGGTTACCAAACCCAGGAAATCATCTTCATGTATATCCTCCATCTCATGTAATAAAATCAACATTTAAAAAAGGAATCTATTTCATCGTTTTCCAGTAACTTCATCTCAGTTACTAAAGAATAATAGTTTATCTTTGTCTTTACCAGCTCCAGTAGTTGTATCCCCCTTTCCAGTGGCTTTTGAATGCAGGGAGTCTGTTTGAGATAAATATGTGTCAGTAATATACAATATTTCTAGATATGAGGGAAATCTTTTTGAATTCAGGAATATAAACAACTTCCACATATAGACTCTTACATTATCTAGAATATTCCCTGCAGCCTATAAAGTAACATTTATAGAATAACTGTGAATTTATAACTGTGAAACTATGTGTTGGTCAATTACAAAAAAAAGTAGCGCAATATTTTCACTCTCTTGCCTTGTGCTTTCCTCATGTGGACACATAGGGGATCCAATCGCTATTTGAATTATCCCATAATCACTATGAAGGATAGGTACATCCTTTCTTCAACAGGGATACAAAATAATTGAGCAGAGGCGGTGATATAAGTACCAGAGGAATCCCCTCCTGGAATTTACACCCAGCTTAGACGGTTATTATTGCATCTTAAATAAACGTTCGTCAAACTGCTATGTACCGTGGTTTCCTTTGTTTTTCTTGGTGTTGGTAGGTGCTGTGGCCACAAGTGCCTCAGCGTTGCTCTTGGGAGCCTCCGCTCCTCCTGGGCTACCAGAGTCCTCAGAGCCCGGGTCCTTCCTGCGCTGCTGTTTCTTCTCTCGGTTACTAACTTTGGTCTCCCATGCACCTGGTGGAAACAAATAAACAAAATTGAAACGGTTAGGCGACTTACCATCTGCAATGCAATGATAAATAAGTATGTTAGATGGTTGACTGGGGATGAAACTTGTTTGATTCCTTGGAACAGGTAAACTGAATGGTAAATGTAGGTGAATCAAAAAACTGCAGAGGTCAAATAAGTTGGGAATACTGAGAACGAGGTCAAACAAACAAGTCATATAAAGAAAAGAGAAAATGAGTCTTACCATCATCAGTTTCCTTCCCATCAGTTTTAGACACATGCTTGACAGGTTGCACAATTGTCTTGGTTTTCTTCTTGTTCTTTTTCACCTGCACCGGGGCTTGTACCTCATACACCTGTTTATGGAAAAAATAAAAAGTTAGTTTGAAATAAAGTATGCGAACTATAAGAACAATTATATTATGTAGCTTTGTTTTTAATAAGGCCATGCCAGGTAAATGTCATTTAAACAACAAAACTGTCTCATAAAACTGTCTGCCGCTCATCATCGGTTCCGCTTCATTTAGGCAACAGCTTCTCAAATATACCTTCTCGGTTCTGATATGAGGAGCTTGCTTGGAGACAACCACGACTACTTTAACTTCCTCTTGTGCTACAGCCACTGGTTGTCCGTTGGAGTGAGTGTTCTGGGGTAGAAAGACAGACAACAAATTAACGTGTTGATGATCCATTCAGCAAACACAAAACTAATCTGAAGTCTGTTAACCCATCTTTCATTTCAGATCATTTGTAGAATAAACTAACTAACTGTTTTTTATTTTGGAGTATACTTCATAAATGTACAATACAAAAATTGCCCATCAACGTTTTTGAATCCACTGAGACTTCTTAAACTAGTACACAGGATGCATTTATGGTGTTTCATTTAACATGACGTGTTACACCTGACCACAATGCTGTAGTCGAATAGAGACCTAAGTTCACAGCTTTCAGAGCAGCTGTGTAAACCATGCCATGTTCACGTTACAAGTACCATTTTTAATTAGACGTGTGAAGGCAAGCAGTGTGCTTATTAAGTACAGTGTGTTTTATATTATAGTTGTTGGCCTACGATCAAATTTAACGAGTTAGCATGAACCGTTAGTTAGCTCCAGTGGCTTGTCAGTTGGCTATATCAGCTAGCTAGTTAGCATCCTATTCTAGAACCAGATACCATGATTCATTGTATATTTAGCCAACTGGTTTATTTCTGTATTTTTGAAAGTAGGTCACATGATGGTCATAGATATTTTGTTGTTGTGTAAACAAAGTGGGCTGGCTAATGCTGGCTTTAGCTAGTCAGTGATGTATGAGAAAGCAACGCTGGCTACCTAACGTCACCTTCAACTTTACTGATAAATAATGAGTATACTATACATGTATAAACTAGCTTATGCTAACTGAGTGAACACTTTGTTTAGGGCTAATTGTGTTAAGAGACATCAATGAATAGACGCACTTGTTCTGATAAACCGTGATTCAGCAGCTCGTAAACCCTGCCCACCTTTTCAATCGTTTTCTTTTTGTTCCTCTTCTTCGGTTCTTCTGGTTTGGCCAAATTGGCCTTGCCTGGCTCACCGTTGCCTTGGGGAACCGGGGATCCCCGCTTTTCCCCAGCAAACAGACCGCGACAGACGGCGGCCCAGGACAGTGAGAGTACCAGGAACAGACCCACCGCGGCCGTAGATAGGATGACCCAAGTCGGGTACACTTCAGGCTTCAGACCCAAATCTACCCCGAACTGAGCCCGGACATTGTCTTGTCCCCAATAAATCAGCACTTTCAAGCGGCTGGAAATCAGCTCGGCTTTTTCCAAAGCAAAACCTCGCAAGTCCACAGCCATCTTTCCAAATCACGAAACACTAGCGCTAGCTCACTGCTGTCAGGCAGCTATCATTACCAACATCCGTATGCTAACGGAGGAGTGGCTAATATAATCTGACTGATGGATAAATCACTATAAAACTACACTACGCAGTATATGACACTGATTTATTGTGAGCATTTGAATCTCAACCCTATGATCTCAACATTATCTGTGAAATAAATGTGCCTCTTTGATAGCTGTGTTGAACAGAACATTCATCACAATTACATTTTGATAACAAAAAAGGACATTTCAGTTTTTACAAAAAAACATTTTTTATTGTACAATAAAAATGACAATGTTCATGTTTTAACAATCCACCATAAAAGGCAGTTGCCAGAACTGCATCTCGATAAAACATATTAAATATAATATTAACCATCTTTACATTTCCAATGAGGTTCAGAATAATCACTCATCACCACACACATTCATGTTTAACTGTGGAGTTGACTGCCTTTGGCTATAAATAGCAAGCTTTCTGTATTGTGAAAATAAATGAAAACCTTTCTTTAACCCTGGCTTTTAATTTTGGAGTGATATTATAGCCTTAGATTTAAAAATTGTTGTCATCATTTATTATCCCCAGTGTTTGTTTATCTTTTTTTTAAAAACAGATTTTTAACATGTTATTATGGTTTTCGTTAAGTTCGTGCATGTGAAGAACTTTAGGCACCAGGTTTGTATGAAACTACAGTATATCAATGAATAAAGTTGAGTAACCAAACTGTGGTACGCCAAGGTAAAAAAAGAAAAGCCATGAGCAGGCCTTGAAGGATCCATTAGTTCACCCTATGTCACTTTGCAAACAATATTTACTGATAATTAACTCCAGGTCTAATAATCCCTATTCCCCAAGAGTTGTAAATGTCTGCAGGACGAGTGCAGCTTTAACCTTTCAATCATTAATTTGTCCTTTGTAGTTCCATGATTGTATTGTAACAAGACTTTAGGTCAGTTTTAGTCAATAACTGCTTTAACAAAATAAATAAATAGTCAAATGTAACAAAATCTTATTTCCTTTTCAGAAGTCTGCATCCAGAGTGAATTCATTGTCTGTCATGCTCGACATAACTCCAAACCTCTGATACTCCCCTACTCGTTTCTCAAAGAAGTTGGTTTTCCCCTCCAGTGAAATGGACTCCATGAAGTCAAACGGATTTTCAGATAGGTATACCTTAGATAAAGGAGAGAAAAGGTTAGTCAAATGATTCACTTTTTCACACCGCAACTCATCGTGATTTATTTTGTCAGATAATGTGTAAAGCATTATATTGCTTTGGTTGTACTTCAATTATTCTCAACCCAGGGTTCCTCTGCTTTAACACAGCAGCCACAACAGTATAAAGGGGTTCAATGAGTAATAACCATTTATGTATTTTTTATAAAAAGTTACCTTGGCCAGTCCGAGGTCAACAAGAAGCCGGTCGGCAACAAACTCGATGTACTGCCTCATCAGACAACAGTTGATTCCAATTAGGTCAACTGGTAAGGCCTCCGTCAGAAACTCCTGCAACACAAAATATTTTGTGTTGTGTAAAAAACATTGAAAAAAAAAACGCCGTGGTGGTGGGCTGGCTGTCATCTACAACCACAACATCCGGACTACAGAACTCACCCTCCCCTCAGTACCATCCTTCGAATTCCTCGCCTTCAAAGCCCCTCCCTCACTGACAGTTATCCTCATTTACCGCCCCCCCAAACCACACCCCTCCTTCCTCTCTGATCTCACTGAACTCCTCACCATTGCTTCATCCCTCTCCCCACGTCTGTTACTCCTCGGCGACCTCAACATCCACATGGACTCCCCCACCTGCAAACTCGCTTCTGAATTCTCCTCCCTTCTGGACAATTTCTCAATTACCCAATATGTCACCTTCCCCTGGACCTCCCGAGCCCTCCTCCCCACGGCCGCCTCTCCCAGTTCACTCTGGTTACCCCCCCTGAAATACTCAAACTGATCAGCTCCTCCAAACCCACAACCTGCTCCCTTGACCCTCTACCCACCCCTCTACTGAAGTCCTGTCTCCCCATCCTCTGCCCCTACCTTGTCAACCTTTTCAACTCCTCCCTGTCCCAAGGAACCGTTCCCTCTGCCTTCAAAACTGCTGCTGTCACTCCCATCCTCAAGAAACCCGGTCTGGATCCCTCCTCCCTCAGTAATTACCGTCCCATCTCCAACCTCCCCTTTCTCTCAAAAACAATAGAACGCATTATCTCCAAACAACTCCACCGCCATCTCCAAACCAACCAGCTTTTTGAACCCCTTCAGTCTGGTTTTCGTCCCCACCACAGCACAGAAACGCCCCTCATCAAAGTCCTCAATGACCTCCTCACCTCTGCTGACACCGGTTCCCTCAACATCCTCATCCTCCTCGACCTGAGTGCAGCCTTCGATACCGTGAGCCACACCATCCTGCTTACCCGACTCCAGGACAACGGTATCGAAGGTACTGCACTCAGGTGGCTCCAGTCCTACCTCTCCGACAGATCCCACTTCATCTCCCTCAACAACCACTCCTCTGCCACAGCTTCAGTCACCCAAGGTGTTCCCCAAGGTTCAGTACTCGGCCCCCTCCTCTTCATCATCTACATCCTCCCCCTTGGTCAGATTATCCGCCAATACAACCTGGACTTTCACTGTTACGCTGACGACACACAGATTTACCTCAGCACCAAATCCCCCCACAACCCCCCCCTCACCCACATTGAATCCTGTGTGACTGCAATAAAATCCTGGATGCAACACAACTTCCTCAAACTCAACAGCAATAAAACTGAACTCCTCCTCATCGGCTCCAAATCCACCCTCAGCAAAACCCCCAACCTGACAGTTACCATTGATGGCACCCCTGTTTCCCCCTCCACCCAAGCACGCAACCGTGGCGTTATATTTGACCCCCCCCTCTCCCTCGAGCCCCATATCCGTCAAGTTGTAAAAACCTCATTTTTCCACCTCCGCAATATTGCCAAACTCCGTCCCTCCCTCACCCGCCCTGCAGCTGAGCGACTCATTCACACCTTCATCTCCTCCCGCCTTGACTATTGCAACTCACTCCTCTACGGCATCAGCACTACATCCCTCAATAGACTCCAGCGTGTCCAGAACGCAGCCGCCAGACTCCTCACCCACACCAAATCATGGCATCACATCACCCCGGTCCTCAAAGAACTCCACTGGTTCCCCGTTTCACACCGCATCCACTACAAACTCCTGGTCCTCACTTTCAAAGCCCTCCACCATCTGGCCCCCCCCCTACCTCACTGACCTCCTCATCCTCTACCAACCACCCCGGTCCCTCAGATCCACCTCAGCCGGTTTGCTTTCCATCCCCAAGGCCAAACTCCGGAGCTTCGGGTATAGAGCCTTCTCTGTGGCAGCCCCGAAGCTCTGGAACTCCCTCCCCCAATACCTCCGTGAGTCTGAGTCCCTCACCCTGTTCCAGTCCCGCCTCAAAACTCACCTCTTCAACTCTGTATCCATAAGCCCCCCGCCCCCCCTCCTCAACAACTTCCTCCTGACTGCTTTTCTGTTTTGTTTTGTTTCTTTGTTCCTTTTTGGCTTTGTTTTTGTTTTGTTTGTCTACCCTCCCTCCCAAATGTAAAGCGTCTTTGGGTTCAAGAAAAGCACTATAGAAATAAAATGTATTATTATTATTAAAATATGTTAAAGAAAAGTCTAGATGTAATTAGATCTAGACTTCATATAATGTAAATCTAATCGTATCTTGTGTAAAGCAATGGTAATCAATATAAACAAAGCAATCAGTAACAAACAAGCAGAAATTAACTGTATGTTTACACAAATGATAATGTGTGGTCTGGGTTGAGTGTATCTCTCCAACATCAGCTGATTACCTGCTCAATGCTCACAGCTTTGGTGATGATGTCCTTCACCCTGTCCTCTGATGGCTTCTTCACCAGGTAGCTGTACAGCAGGCAGGCAAAGTTACAGTGCAGACCCTAAAAACACATCAGTATACATGTCAGAGTAGTTGATAGAAAGAGAGAAAAACATCCATTGAAGATATAGGCACCATTTCCATATTAAAATATTTTTAAAAAACACAACTAAAGAGCTATACATTTTTTTGTTTTGGAAATTATTCCAGATGTTTCTAACAATTGTCAAACCTAGACCAATCTGTGTTTTGAGAAAGGTCAAGAAACGTTTTATTTCATCACCTTTCATTGCCGTAATATCCTCTTTGCTCCATGCATCATCATTGTGGTTGTCTACACAGCCTAACCATTACGCAAGTGTGCCCAAGATGTTCGGTAAACCTAAACTTGATCCTGAAACTGGCTATGATTTTATATTTGTAGTCCGAGATCCCTCTTTTCTTCCAGCTTCCCTTGATTAAACATGTCTTTTGATTGTAAATTCATCTCACCTCATCCCTGCTAATCAGCTCGTTGGAGTAGGTAAGGCCGGGCATTAGTCCTCTCTTCTTGAGCCAGTAGATTGCAGCAAAAGAGCCAGAGAAGAAGATGCCCTCGACTGCCGCAAAAGCCACAAGGCGCTCCGCTGAGGACAGAAAGTGTCAAACCTGTTATTAGCTATAAATAACAAGAAGCTCCTCTAGGCGAGAATTTCTCCTTTTAATTTCATTAACAATATGATGGTTAGAAGTTGCATCTTCCTCACCAAATGACGATTTGCTGTCATTTATCCACTGGAGGGCCCAGTCTGCTTTTCGTCTCACACAAGGCAATGTCTGAACTGCGTTAAATAAGTTGTCCCTGAAACACACATAGTATACCATTTGACTTACTTTCTTCAAACATATAGCCTCAGCAGACCAAATACAGTACATATATATAGCTCAATCATTTTTTTGCATGTCAACAGGAAGTGCAGTATTTTACACACAATTCTCAACAAATAAATCCAAATCAAGTATTAGCTTAAAACTAAAAAGTGGAAAGCTTGTAAAGGTACAGACTGAAAGAAATGCAGCAAAAATATGTATGGTTCTAATACTTTATTTGAATAGCCTGTTGATCAACAGGCTATGAGATTGTTATCTTCCTAAACTGTAGGCACATCAAAGCTGATGCAGCTGGGAATGCAACTAAAGTGGAGTAGACCTAGCCCGTGATAAACAGGTGCAAATCTAACGGTTGGATTTGAATCTTCATAAGAAGTTGTCTGTATATGGTTATGCACTTTCTCAAAATGCACTGAGACAATCTTTACCATCTAACTATATTCTATTTGCTTAAATGTTAGTTTTTTCTCATCGAGCCACAATCTGTGTAATTTGATTTGATGCTCATTTTCTACATCACAAAAAACTGAACTAGTCTAAATTGCTTAAAATTAACCTTTCAACAGTCACCTTCATGAAAGTTTGTCTTCCAGGATCTTACAGGATGGGACCATAAACAAAACTAACCTCTCCTTCAGGTCCCTGACGTATGTGTTGATGAGCATGCTGTACATCTCTGAATGAACCGTCTCTATAAGGATCTGGAAGCTGTAGAAGGAGCGTGCTTCAGGGACCTGCACCTCCTGGCAGAACCTCTGCACCTGTTAGACAAAAACAACAAGCTTTTTTTTTTATAACCCTGGCACATTATCTTTGTGTAAAGTGTAATCATGCTCTGAATCCATTAGTGCCATCTGTTGTTTACACAGAAAACATTCCAAAAAGGCACACAATCTACAAACGTATGCAACATCCAAAATCCCTCACCAGGTTCTCATTGACGATACCATCACTTGCAGCAAAGAAGGCGAGGATATGGGAGATGAAGTGTTTCTCCCCAGGTTTCAAACGGTCCCAGTGTGGCAAGTCTTTGGATAGATCAACCTGAAAGAAGCAACACCATCAGTACAATCTTCTGTCATATTGCTGCGTCTTAATGAGGTTTTCCCCATGATAACAGGCTTGGAGGATGACACAGTGTCTCTCATAGTTTTGTTTTTGCGTGGGGCTGTAACATATACATAAGTACTTATTTGTGGGAAGCCAGGAAAATAAAACAGAAACTTTTATAATGTAATGCAATAATACAGTAGTATTTCATTTACATTAAATTAAAAATATACTGCACATTCTAATTTATACAGCACATTGAATTACATGTAATTCAAAGTGATGTAACCACATTTAAAAGAAAACTTTCCCTTAAGCAGGCCATTGTATTTTCTTGGTAGTAAAACTGAAACCCACCTCCTCCACCGTCCAGAAGGAGGCCTGAGCCTGCTTGTACATCCTCCAGATCTCGGGGTACTGGATGGGGAAGATGACAAACCGTCTGGGGTTGTCCCGGAGCAAAGGTTCTTCCTCTTTCTCTGTACCATTTTGACAGTCTGGGTCTTTCTCTTTGATGCCATTCTACAAAGAGCCAGAGCACACCAAGGAAACACATGTCACCTCACCATTGATATAGTATTTTTTTTAAATAAATATATTATCTACATTATACTCTTCCCTGTCCAACCAAAGAACACATTATTACAACCAGTTTAAATACACCTCCCCACCTTAAATAATAATAATTTATACATATTCAAAACAGTTTTAATTAAACTTTGTAAACGTTATCTAAAACATTACTGATGAACATTAGCTTACATGAGTAGAAAAGTCAAGTGTATGACATTTAAAATCATATTTATTCAACTAACAATAACAAATGTCTATGTAGCAAACGCCTCTCTTTATCGGTAAACTGACAGCAGTGTAGCTTATTTTTGACGTTACGTAGTGTCTTGCTAGCTCTCATGCTACTCCCGAGTGATGTATTGAACATGCTTACCGGTTCTTTAAGATGTTCAGACTGCCGACGTATATTCATTAGGTCCATTTCCTGTAAAGATTATTATTTCCCTGTCGATGTCATTCGGGGTGCTTTTATCTGTTACTCCGTCTCATAACCTTGTGTGGACAGTGAACACAGCAGCTGTAGCTTTGTTGTCTAACCCTTTAAACTGACTCAGAGGGAGTGTAGCGCCTCTAGTGTTCATACACAAGACATGCTACATTATAAAACCACAACAATAAAAGCCTAACAGCAGTATGAATCGACTTTAATAACTCTTCTAAAATCATCATACCGCAGTCTCTCTCATTTGCAAAAACAAGTAGAACAAGAAAACAAATCAGTCAGTCTTTCAGAATGATAAATTCTTTAATTGAAAAGGAATGCAATTTAAAAATGAAATCTTTAACAAATAGCATGCCGTTTGATGATGTGAGTATGTGGAGGAATTTTTCATATTTTCCTTTGTGTTTGGAATGACAGCATGACTATTAAATGAACTCTGAGCTGGATATCAATGTGTGTGAACCAACAAATCCAGATCGCTACACCGGTATGTTGTGAATCCCCAACCTGAACACATCATTTGTGCACGCCCATGCGCCGTTTTGGCACTTCAGCATAAACACTTGATGAAAGGCCATTGGTGGATCATCATCTACCTGTTACAAAAGCAGTTGAGAAGTATTTGTGAGCACAACAATTATACTCCAATTTCTACCGAAGCAGAAATGTATTATACACATCACACAAGATCTTTTCTGTAACCATACATGAAATATTCAATGTTATGTTTTTGTAAATTAACACAGTTGTTTGGACTATAGTAGCAAAGGCAATCAGATGTAGCAGGTCAATCAACAAAATGTTATTTATATATATATATATATATATATCTAGAAGCATAATTACAACTTAAATTATCCTTTGGCGAAATATGCATTATATGTAAACTACAAAAAACTCATAATTTGTTCATCATCAGATCAAAAGACAAAACAACAACAACACTAGAGAAATGTATATTAAATACAACTATATTTATATAGCCTATTTTAGTAATATATATTAGAAGGAAATTACTGCAAGTGTTTCCACAGCGCATTGCTCTGTTTCAGACAAGAGATTGTCTACATCTTACTTTTTTAAACATATGCAGACCCAAGGTTATCTACAAAAATGTTCACGCTTACCTGCAACTGTCCAAACACCATGATCAGGATACAACTGTCTACCGTGGGTTGGAAGTCTTGTTCTGTGATAATGTGTTTAATACGCTTGAAAGGCAGGTTCTGTAAATGGGGAACAATAGCATTTATTAATAGTGTACAATAACAAAAACAAAAAAGGGATGCTTTGATATGAAGTTTCCAGTCTGGAAACTGTTTTGCTCCTCATTTCTGATACTTATAACATGTCAGGAAAGGCTACTTTTTAAACGTTTGTATGAATTAATGAAAAATAAGCACTTACTGCTAATTTGCCAGAGATAGCTTCTCTCCCTTGAAAAGGTGAACCCTCCCATGTCAAACAGGAATCAGGAGCCTGAGGAAATTACAATCACATAATGTTTATTTGACCACGAATCACAGTATTTACAACAGTAACTTCAACTATGAATGTAACGTTAGTGGATATTTGGTTTATAAGTGTTGATATTATCCATAATACAGGCAATCATTTAATTGAGAATGAACAAACTTACATAAAGGTTACCCAGTCCTGTCCTGTTGGTATTGTCAAACTGGTTGTAATATTCTTGGACAAAGCCCTCCCCAATCTTTTGCCATATTTCCTTTTCGCAAGCCATCTGTGAAGCTTTGGATCTGTAAAATCAAAAAGTATTGTTATTAGCAGTCAGTCAAAGCTGCAGTCAAATAATGGCTGTTTACTGATGACACTCCACAAATATATGTTCTAGCATAGAAATGTTCTGGTCATTCCAGTTATTTGAACAATACATACATGTAAAAACAACACCATAATAATCAGGCATGGTCACATTAAATAAACACTTTGTATTGCTTGCTTTTAACATGTACAAATAGTACTCCAAGGATTCTAACCTAGATAGAAATGCCAATCACTCAATTAGTTACACAGTTATAACAACTTGACTCATGATAGAGAAAAACTCAATCTGATGTTGTAAAAAGGAAATTAAAATCTCAATCCAAAGCTTTTTACACCTTTATCCTACGACAGGTTGCCCTACATTGAGCACTCTACTACTAAATGTAATGGTTACTGGACAGGTAGGAGAAGACATTTGTCAACATAGTATGTTGACACTTTCACTATGGGAACATTCTCCCCACATATGCTTTGTATTGATATGGGGAACACTTTGAGAGTTGTGGTAAAAGGTGATTTGTGAAGGTGGTCTCTGAGTGAAATTAATTCAGACCACGCATAATTATGTATATTTACGTCTCTGGAGCTGGTTAATTTGGCCACGAATTAACAGCTGGAAAACTTCCTTTACAATGTGTTTGATGTCAGTGTTCCCTGTGTTGCAACGATAAAACAGATTAAAACCGTGACAAAACCAACAATTCAAAATTGTAATGCTGACTTGTTGTGTGAAGGTTGCTAGTCATGCAATACGTTGTTGTCATTATCTCTATGTGTAACGCCTGGACAAAGCCGCATCATTTAAAAAAATAATATGAAACGAGTCTCAATAAAGATTAAAAACAGAATCAGGTCCATCAGAAAGCACTGGGCTAGCCTGGGGGTTAGCTACAGAAAGTGTCACGGCCATAAGCCATTCAAAAGCGTAAAGTTATAGCTAACGTTAGCACAAAGATTTACTTTTCTCGGAACCGATTCAGTTAATGTGGTCTCGCTGTTATATTCGTCTCAACAACACCGTGTTACTACAACTGGGGAAGCTGTTGTTTGGTAACATTAGACTCAAAAACAACACTTTACCGTGTCCAAAAGTTTTAGCTTACTTTTTCGATCGGTGGGCGAGCCAGCATGGAGATCCAGGCAATAACGATGGAGGTTCCCGCTTCCTCAGAGTTATGACAAACCGATGACGTCACTTACAACTGACCAATAAGGGCTAATAACGTTGAAATAGTCCTGCCCTGTGTTTAGCCTGTCAGGAGCTCATTCTCCCCGACTCCGTACCACCTTCAACCATGTATGTATTTATGATTATGAATAGGCTACTGTAGTACAAATGGTTGGACTCTAGTCCTGTCAATCATATGGAAGATGTAAATGACACGCTCAGAGCAAATACAGTCCACAATTCAGAGTCAACCCTAGTATGAAGGCGGGATTATTAATCAGGCTAAATGGAGGCGTTGTCTGAAAAACTAAACTCAGGGCTCAAAGAATCATCTTTTTAGTGGCGATGAGCTGACATTATTTAATTTATACATTTCAGTTGTTTAAGATTATGTTACTTATTTTAAAACAGACACTGTGAAATAAAAATTGAGTACTGTAATTGGCAAAACCTATACAGTTGTTGAAGGTATTATAAAGGCGGAATGAAGTAACTTCAGTTGTACTGCCTTTTTGGAGTCATAGCTCAATTCATTAATCATGTTGTTATGCAACAATAACTTTATGAAAACTTAAGTAATAAGCATATTACCTCCTTCTTCCTATAATACATTTGGCAGGAGGACAGTCAAAACACTTTGAAGCCTTCTCAGTTTCAATGTTAGCGCAGTTACTCCATTTAGCTGTTGTAGGTTTAAGGAAAACAAAAATAATGGGCCATAAAACAGGACAGCAAATCTTTAATAATTATTTAAAAAAAACAAGATCAACCTGTAAATGAAACGTCTTTATTTTTGGCAAACAATTAAGCAAACAATTAATCAAATAATAAACCATAGCTTTAGCCATTGATTGTTGGATGGGTAAGGTTTACGTCACATCTCTTAGGTACAGTTGTCTCCCAAGGACGAGATTAAAGCTTTCTCCAGTTAAAGTTACAAAACTGAATCACATGAACTACGAACTAACCAATCATCTAAAGTGTGCTTTATTTTAAAAGGTGCTATCAAAGATATAGCCCAATATCATTTAGGCAAATGTCCCACATAGCCATACAGTCAGGCTATCAATAATGTAATTTTCCTGAAATGAAAGACATTAAATGCTTTACTAGAGGAGATCCATATTGCGTCGGAGAGAGTGATGAGACATTAGAAATACAGATGAATTCATAACAGCGTGCAGGTCTTCTTTACAAACACAACAGGAATGTTATTTATAAAAAAGCTGGGTTAATTCTTTTTGTAATACATTTTAAGATCTTTACAGTTCCTCCAATTGTACCTTGGTTACAGTGTCCTATTGGCAAGGGGGATTCCTTAGTCCTCCTGACTTCAAATCAAATCAAACATCTGACATTGTTTTCCACATAAATGGAGAAAACAAGCGTGACAGAGATAAGACCCATTTAGGCACTTTTAAAAACATTTTGCTACAGTTCAGTGCTTGTTGCTGCCAGGAAAATGACACTCAAAAAATGCAGAATGTCTTCCCGCACTTGACTTCCAGTGACTTGTTCAGAAAGGCTACTATTGCTTTGTCGAGGCCCATGCACCAATAGCTCCTTTGCAATGGATGGCAGTAAAAGTAGTCTCTACAGTCTTCACCCAACAGGCCTCTGAGGTTAGAACCAAGTGTTGTGTTCAATGTTCTCGCATGTCACTGCTCTGGCTGTGATGTGAAATAATCGTCTGTCCGGAACACGCTGGGGATTTCTTGACGCTGATGTGGTGCTGTTCTTCTTGGGCTGGTCGGTTTCTGTGATTAAAAGGACACAAAAGGAATTATTTAATATAAAACTTCTGCCAGGAGTATTGTCACAAAAATGGCTGGACAATATTCTTGATGTTTATTGGAAAACTATCTGTTTCACACCAAACCGTTTACTGGTTTTTACATGACAGTTAGTATGTAAACAAACATAACATTTATAGGTACTGAGCATACAAAACGCACATTTAAGAAGCCTGGGACACTGCGAAAGATCTTCTTGAAAGCACCGGGTAGCGTTCCTAGTTCTCCCTCTGCCAGCGTGACCTGATCCTCCATCTCGTTGACATTGGCTCCCACCATCTTTACAAAGGCCTGCAGCCATTCCAAAAGCAAAAACCAGATAAAATTGAGATCTATTCACACTGTTTGAGACCAAGGAAATTCAAAACACTTAAACAATTAAATAAAGCTAAAAGTCTCACAAGCCTTGCAGCTTTTTGCTTATTGATGCAGGTTTGTATTCCCATTAGTTGCTTGGTAGGTTATAAGCATTTTAAAACAGTAACAG